CAAGTAGAAATTGACGATTGTTAAATAGTTAATATCGTTTGTGTTTGTACTCGAAATATGATTTATTATAAGATTATTTAGATCTAAAAGTTCTTAAATGGGTTGTAACATGATAAAATCCTCAGGCTGCTAAATTAACAAAATCTAATTTTTAGAGTTGGTATGTGAGGAAATGTTTTTAACCAGGCAAAGATGTCAAATTCAGTTAAACTTAAAATTTTCCCAAATATGAAAATTATAAAACTATGTTTGCGGATAATGTTATAAGTTTAAAAATATTGTTAAAAAAAAACATAAAAAGTTTAATTTTTAAAGTTATTATCTTTTCCCTGAGACGCAGAAGACAAAGTGTTATTGTTCATTTACTTATCTGGCCGCAGTTTGGATCTTTTTGAATTGATTAAAAAACTATAAATTGTCCTTTGTGAAGGATTGACATGTACAAACATGTGATGAGATACCATGAAGGGAAGGGAGTAGAGGGTAAACTGAAGTATTGTTCCCTCTGTGGATGTTGGATAGATGTCAAGTCCGTTCATAATCATAAACCTCAGGCACACTGTCTACCCTGCCACAAGTGTAAACTAAAGTTCACAAATAAAAAAGAACTGTTACAGCATGTAGCAGCGCATCTAGAAGAAGAAACCATGAAGAGAGAAAATTAAGAAGAGAATTGCAACTAAAGCATTTTAAACAAAATAGTTTATTCTAGTGAATCATTATTCACATTTAATTAAGTGTTCGTTATTAAATAAATAATGTTGGTCCTTTGTCAAAATAGAAACTAAAGAGCTTTTTTTTTCAGAATTGAAAATTTAGAAAGTTCATCATAAAATAGATGGAAGAAGTGAATCCAGGGAATCTGAAACTTAAATAAAAAATATAAGGTATCAAAACATTTGAAAGTTTTATTTATTTATCTATATATAGGACTCATGGTGTAAATCACACCATTTATTATAGGCCTATATAACTCTTTAAGGGAAGGAAGGAAGGGGCGGGGGAATGGTGCAAAGGTAAATAGAGGAAAGAGGGGGGTTGGAGGCAAGGGGGGGGGGGAGTGCCCCGCCCTAGAATTTAGATACTTTATGCATATTTAAAAATTAAAAATGATTGCATTCTGAGATGGTAAAAGTAAAATGAGTACAATATATGCTCCCCACTACATCTATTCCTGTATACGCCAATTTTTCTGTTAACACATCTGATTTTTGTAGGGCACTGGATGCTGAATAATAACAATCTACAATTATTCTGTGGAAATCAAGGCCGAGCCCCCATCAGAAGTAATAGCAGAAGTGAATATATTGGATGAAAGAGGAGCGAGAAGATTATAGCAACCGTGAGAGGTAAAATTTTGTCATTAAAAATCCATTTTCTGCGTTTTGCGTAATTCTTTAAAACATTGCTTAGGATGCAGATCCGGATCCTGGATCCGTCCTGTAAAAAAATAATCCAGATCTAGCTAATAAAAATTTCGTGAAGTTTTTTTCTAATTTAATTTACTAAAAACAAATTGACTAATTTGGTTATTTATTCAATGAATTAAAAGTTGTTAATTTGATCTCATTGAATATATTTTTGATAAATAAAAATAGTTTTATAAATAATCCCTCAAATTCTATTTTCAGGATTTCTACTCAAAGATTTGTAAAGTCACTTCAATCCCCTTGATATCTCCCCATTAATCCACAGACCTGCAGATTCATACACTTTATAGGTTTCTTAGCAAGGTTTTTCTTCTTAGCAGAATAACAGGTTTTGATTTATCACAGTGGGGTTCATTGACCAATTTGCAAAGCAGAATTTTTGAACTTTTATACTTTAAAATCGAATCATAGAAATATTGTAAAGATATGTTTCTTGCCGCGGATTCCCATCAAGATTAAAGACGAATACCGTCTCTGCACTAATACGTCACAATTATACAACGTAAAAGCATTTGGCTAAAATCAAATTGATTCTAATTTTTTCTTTTCATAGAAATGTTTAAATTATGATTATAAATTAAACTATTTAGGAGTGGCCTGAAGTCAGAACTTTTGTGTTTTGAACCTTGGGATCAAGCATTGATCTCTATCTCATATAGATCTGTGGATTAGTTGTATTTCTCTTCAATATCCCGTGATGGTCATACCCTGCAAGGATTGCATAAATTGAGGGATCAAGCAATGATTCTCTAATTTAAAAGTGCCAACATTGGGTATCAAGATCAATTGTTCAAGATTAACGATTATCCGCTCAAAAGTTCCGGCCACTTGTTAAAGTAGCAAATGAAGTCTGAAAATGTCTTTAGTGAAGGTACTATGATGATAAAGATTTTTTGTTTTTGTTTAATTTTTTTTATTGAATTATTTAGAATCTGAAGAAGAGTGGATTTACGAGTCTGATAGTGTAACTAATATTGAGGAAGAAGAAGAAGATGAAGCTAGACAAAATGCGAATATTGATCCGACATCAGAAGTAACTTACAATCCACTTCAACAATTTGATGAATATTTTAACAACGAGGCTGAAGATGTCTTCAGTGAAGGTACTATGATAAAAAGATGTTTTGTGTTTGTTTAAATTTTTATTATTGTATTATTTAGAATCTAAAGAAGAGTGGATGGACGAGTCTGATAGTGTAATTCAGATTGAGAAAGAAGAAGAAGATGAAGCTGATCTTGATCAGATAACAGATGAAACCTACAGTTCAGCTCAATGTTTTGATTATGAATTTAACACCAAGGCTTATAATCTTGAAAGTTCAATGGAGTTTATAGATCAAACTGGAACGATGAAAGTATGTATGCAAATCAGAGAAAGTCAACTTCTTGAGAAAATTTACCAGCTTACTGTTGAAAATCACAAGTTTACTGTTGAAAATCACAAGCTTACTGTTGAAAATCACAAGCTTACTGTTGCAAATCACAAGCTTACTGTTGCAAATCACAAGCTTACTGTTGAAAATAACAATCTTACTGATGCAAATCACAAGCTTACTGTTGCAAATCACAAGCTTACTGTTGAAAATAACAATCTTACTGATGCAAATCACAATCTTACTAATGCAAATCACAATCTTACTGATGCAATCATGCAGCTTTCTGTTGAAATCATTTAAAATCATTATGGCTAAACTGGAAGTTAGACTGGGATATGCAATTTTTCCGGCAGCAAAATTCTTTACAGACGATCTAGTTATTTCTAGCACGTGTAAAGACCAGCTCTCGGCTCTAATTTCAAGTTTCTACGACGGCTTGGACATAAAGTTTTTAGCATCCAAAAACTTCATGATGACCAATGCGCAAATGTTAATAGGATGGATTGTTGATGACGCAACAATCGAGGAAGTACTGGAGGCTGAGTATCTAGGAGTTCAAAACGAGGTTGATTGGTGCATCCGAGTTCCGAGTGCGACGTCGCTTGTGTTTTTTTGGATGGGCGTTGAGCTGCTTCTAGTAAGAATCCGAATCATGATAAATCAGGCCAGCTTTAACTGTGCAGTGGTCATGAAATTGTGGAATCCTATGATTCTTGATGGGATGACATTAAAGAAGCCGCGGAAATCTTGGGGGACTCTGAGTGAGATCTGCACAACAACTAACTTCCAGAGAAAGAAGGAGCGTATCCTGGCGCACTTTGTTTTCCAGTCATTGAACAAACAACCATGGCGTTTGTGCTGCAGCCAGAGTGGTGGGTCTCGTTCCAGGAGGATCTCATCAATTCGGCGGTCAGAAGAATACTATGCTGCATTCGTGGAGACAGATTTAAAATCAGATAACATAACATAACATAACAATGCTTCGTCTTTCTGCAAATTAGCGTGCTACCGGAAGCTTCAGAAAGTCTCGTCTTCTGTTTAGCTGTTTAGCTGTGGCCGTATAAGGCTTCCAAAACTTTAGACTGTTCAGCTGTTCAGCTGTGGCCGTATAAGGTTTCCAAAACTAAAGATCTGATCAGACCAAAGCACACAAGTTTTTGAAACAGACACCCCAAACTGTCATTTAAAGAGGGTAAGCCTATACCCCCTTTTCATTTTTCGCGAACACTCCCTTTAAGCCTTGCTGTGAAGTGTAAGTCTGCTACCAGTATAATGTAGGTTTATCCATGGCAACCTTTTACGTAGAGAAGCGCAATGCGCAGACTTCAAGGATTAGTTTGCTGTCTAATTGGTTAATAATCGGACTCTACCTGTAGGCAGTCTGGGCTGCCCAAGCTGGAGGCTTCTTGCAGATCTCTTCTCTAATAATCTATATAATACTTAATGCATAATGCAAGAAACACTGTATTAATGCATTATGTTTACTGTTTATCGTTTACTAAATATTAATCTTCATGCTATCTATTTAGTGCATGTTCTTAATTGGTTTTTGTTTGAGGAAAAAAGATTTTCTGAAAATTTGTTTCTTTCAAGTAATGATTGTCAACCCTGTGACAATGTCAAGGGATTTAAACCATTTTAATAATGGTTTAAAATTAAAACTTAATGCTAGACAAAAGTTTTTTACACTTAATATTTTATGAAGTATCTTTATTTATGATAATTTTGACTAATTTTAAGAACTATGGTGATGGGAATGCTCTATACAACATGTAAACATATTTAGAAAATTAGTAACTTGTATGTAAATATTAATCATTTCGTGCTTCTTCATTTTTTTATGGAAAATTGTTTCTGACGATTTATAGATGTCTGTTATTTGATAATGGTTCAAAATCAAAACTCAAATACAACTTTAATCAATTTTAAAGGCTAGACAAAAACGCTCTGGATTCAACGAAAAATTTAAATTAACTTGCACTTACGATGAGTTTTATTAATATAAAGCTTTTAATGTTGATGGGAATGTTTTAAATTGTATACCTATTTGAATACTGTACAGGAATATATATTTTCAGAAATTAGGAGTTGGGATGGAGGGGGAGAAACCCTGAATTTGGATTAATTTGGATTGTTTGTTTGCAATCGGGTAGTGATGTAGGCATTGGTCTAGCCCTCGCCATGTTGGTACACAATAGACTTGGTCATTTATCAACTTTTAATTAATTTCCGGCCCTTGGCGGTGTTTGGTGCTTGGCGGTGTTTGGTGCTTGGCGGTGTTTGGTGCTTGGCGGTGTTTGGTGCTTGGCGGTGTTTGGTGCTTGGCGGTGTTTGGTGCTTGGCGGTTTTTTTTCAAGAGGGTTCGACCTGGATTTCTATAAAATGAAGGTTAATTATTATAATCATTGTACATGAGATGGGTGAGGTGAATGGAAAACAGTTTCCAAGAAAATATATACTCCTGAATTTTCGTATCTTTACATTCATTAGATTTTATTTATGTCACATTTTATATTAGTTTTAAGCTATGGTGGAGGGAATGCATTTTTCTTGGACTTTATTTCTTCGGAATGAAATTTAATACAATTATTTTATTATTATAACATTAGTTTTAAGCTATGGTGGAGGCAATACCTTTTTCTTTATTAACGCAAATATCTATTTAGAACTTCCTTTTTTACTTTAAGAACTTAAAAAAATATTTATAGGGTAAAGTGCACACATTTATAATAATTTTCAGCTTACATATTTGTTGACATAATACAAAAACCTTTTTTAAACCTTCAATTTTGGGATTTCTACAAGGTTTTCTCAAAGATTGCCATGTGCGCCAACATAATTGTTTTTAAAGTAATAAACTGTGCGCATATACAATCAAATATATCTATGGAACCTAAACAAAATTATTAAAACAAAATTTTAGACAACTTCAATTTGAGACATTTTTTTTAATTAATAAAGGACATCAAATGCAATATTACATGTGCGGACTTATCTCTACTTGCTATATTTTTTTAATTATTGTTGGAATTTTATATATTTCTATTTTTGATATTTAACTTTCTACTCATCTACATTCACTTGTACATAAACTGGATTACATGCCAGTTTCATGATATAGAAATAAATTTTGACAAGGATTTGTTCTATTTTGACATCAACACTTGAAGAACCATTTTAACATTTATGTAATTTTAAAATGTACATAAATTATGTTTATAGATTTACAGAATATTACTTTTTCCAGAATATTATAATATAAAAATGAATTTGATGAAAAACAACTCAACCGCCTCAAGGAAAAAATTAAATAATAATTTTTTTATTCGATTTTCATTAAAAATTAAGCAAGGTTATATTTGTTATGAGGCCTTTTATTGGTAATTTTAGCAATATCACTAAAAATACATTACTTTTTGAGGTATAAATTAAGTCTCATTAAATTACGTACAATCTTCTCTGACGTCTCATCTTTTAAAGGTCAGTCTGTATCGGAATCATTTTTTCTCTGACCTGAAAGTTTTTAAAACACTAAAAGTCGTCTTTTTGTACAATCTTGATGTGAACGTTCTTTTATTCTTTATACGAAATATGTAGGACAAAATACTCCTTTTTGTGACGTAACAAAACTTTTTTGTCCTTAAAAGTTATTATTATTTTTACCTTAGATGGGTTAATCATCATGTTGGCAATATCCAGAACGGTGGACCCTCTGGACCCGCACTTCTTCCTGAAGGAATACAAACTCAAGTTTCAGGTATAGGAATTTGTTTTGTTCGATCCGCACTTCTTCCTGTAGGAATACAAACTCAAGTTTCAGGCGAAGAAATTTGTTTTGTTCGACCTGCACTTCTTCCTGTAGGAATACAAACTCAAGTTTCAGGTTAAGGAATTTGTCTAGCTCGACCCGCAAAAAAATGTTTAACAATCATTCTTTTTTTTCTTTCTTTTCACTATAGCTTGAACAATGAACCCTCTTTCAACAAAGAGAAAATATATGTCAATGATTGAGAAAGCTATGATCTGTTAAGACCAAGTGGCATTGTTGTTAAATTAAAAACAATATTTTTACAGTTAATACCCAGAAAACTGTGGAAGAAAGTAGTCTTCTTTCTTTTTATTATGAAATGTTAAATAAGTTAAAAAGAATTAAAAAAAAATTAAAACACGTTGCCATTATAAAAACAGTTAAAACGACACTTTTAGATAAAAAGTAAGAACGAAGATGACTAGAATTACCATTTTTTGTTTTCTGGTTACTACTGTATCCGATATAAAGGTTAACCCTGGCTTAGGGAAATAAAGAATTTTGTTTTATTTAGACTGCATTGAAGCTGAAGATGTAAATATGGACAGGCGCGCAACTAGACATTTTNTCGAGGCTGGTTAATATAAATCACAATATTAATTAATTTACAATTTACATATATACATATATATATATAGTTTTTTAGTATGGCACATCGCACAATATTTGCGGTGAACATGTAGGATTAATTCAATAGTTTCACTTCAGTATTAAAGCAATATCATAATAAGTGGCAGAACTGATAGTAAAAATATCTAAAAATGCACAATAAACTCCCTTTCTCTTTTCCAGGATTTCATGAATCGCTAAATTGCAAAACAGGGTAGACTTCTGGGGGGGGGGGCAAGCCTTCTTTCGAGAGGAGCATGCCTCCTTGCGCCCCTCCCCCCCCTAGTTGCGCGCCTGAATATTGAGGAACAGGGTAGATCATTTTGTTTCACCTTTTTTACATAATTCTCTTGTTTGTATATTTCCTGGTTCAATGGAAGATTTATATATTTTTTTATAAGTTTTGGTATAATTTTGACACGGTTTTATATCAATTTCTCGAGACAGGAACATCAGATAGAACTCTAAAAGGTATCGGATATCAACTCCTTTAGTGCTTAGGTTTCAACTTTTACCCCATTTCATTTTTCCTTTACAGTCCCTTTAAGAAGCAAGTATGTTTGACCTTTAGTGTTTCCCAATAATAAAAATTCAAAATGTCTGAAAGAAAAATTTCAGGAGTCATTTTTTCAGGAGATGAGAAATTTCTCGAGAGAATAAGACAACTTGAAGATGAACTCGACAAAGCAAGGTTCATCCAAGGTCAACGAAACTTAAAATATATTTGTTTTGTCTCTATAACTTTATAATCTGATGGTTGAAAGCATGATATAAAATATCTAAGCTCAGGTAGCAAAGATTCAATGCGGGTAAATTGAGATTTTTAGATTGAATTAAACTTTCACAACGATACATTGGGCTTTATCAAAGGAACCGAGTTCTATGTTACAAATTAGAGGCCTACAATTTTAAATTAGTAAATTCATCTTGAAATTGCAGAAGGAAAGTAGGACAGCCCTAGAAGTCAGATTTTTTATTTGATCTAAAAGAACTCAAGTTTGAAACATCAGAGGACTACGAATTCGGGTTCCAATTATAAAGAGATTTAAAAATCAGAGTTGGTGGCAAGAACCCAGTTCCGTTATACTACTAAATACGTTGGTCAATGCGAGAACTTGATTTCTTTCTCGGTAAAGTCAGGGTCCTTGGATGTATAAATGTTGGGAAGTCAACTATAATCAACGTGAAAATATTGCAAATCTAGGAAATCTTTTAACACAACAAAGTCGCGAGTTGAGACAGGAGAAACAAGAGAAAGAGAGGAAAAAAAAATACTTCTCAGAAATTATAAGGAGAAAAGATGAAAAGATCAAGGGATTAAGAAACGGAAAGCAAAATTAGTTACCTGGAGTTGGATGATCTAAAACTACTAATGGAAATATAAAAAAGTATTTACAAAATAATTTGATAAATTGAAATATCAGATTCAGAAATTTTAAATTTTCAAGATTTACCAGGAAAACATGTTTCATTGTTCTCTTCAAGTAAAGAATGGAATGTTAGATTCACAACGGTACCCATTTGTAAATTATCGCTGTTTTTCTGTCTGAAAATCTGTTATTTTCATTTATTTTTTGCAGCATAAATTCTTAGGTAAACTTTATAGAGCAACTACATTTTAATATTTTTCTATTTTTGCTACTGAACTATCTAGATTTATATTCAACTAATAATAAGATGAACTGGTAGAAATGTAAATTTAAGTGAAAGCATTTATCACTACAACATATTTGCCAGCGTCATTGTTACTATATATCATTTTTCCTGTATGCCATCTTTTGTACGTAATTATAGCTATAACGACATTTACTATGTGAACACCTTTCCAAGTCTGTCCTAGCACTCCAAAAATCTTTAGAAAGAAGAAGACGACAAGATCCTAAGAAACTGAGACAAAATAAAATATGATCACTTAATATAAGAGGAAACACGCATATATATATAAAATAAAAAAAGAAAGAAAAAATATATAATACAAAAAGAAAGAAAAAAATATAAAATACAAAAAGAAAGAAAAAAATATAAAATACCAAAAAGAAAAGAAGATATTGTTAAAATAAGTAGTATATAAGTTTAACCTAATATTACGATGTCTTGTCAGGGAGGGAAGGCAACCTCCCCCACACAGCTTCCGAACCTCATTTTACCTATTTGCGGCAGTGCACGTTCCCAGAGGGCTTCCGAACCTCCCACAAACAGTCTTCCGGAAGGATCTTTCATTTACAGTCGTCAATTTCTACTTAAAACGGGATTAATTTGTAGAATCGTAGTCAATCTATAGTATTCTTAACATTTGCATCATATTTTTTTACCATCGAAGTTCGGGCTGGAAAAGCTTAAACTTTGTAGATTTTGTTTTAAATTGTATTTGTGTTTCGTTTTGATTTGCGGCATTCGCTGAATCCCCCATACTGCTTCCGAACCCTGTGGTTATTGGGAACATTCTTTCCCGTTTCAAGTAGAAATTGACGATTATAAATTGAAGATCATTCCCGGTAGACTGTTTGGGGGAGGTTCGGAAGCCCTAAGGAGACGTGGACTGCCGCAAATAGGTAAAATGAGGTTCTGAAGCTGTGCGGGGGAGGTTGCCTTCCCTCCGTCGTCTAGTTTGTAAGATAAGTTTAACCTATAAACAGTATGTTTATTGTGGCATCCGCAAATGTCTTCTGCAGAAGTGAAATTATTATAAATTAAAGTTTTAGTTTGGAAAGTATGTCCAACAACTTATATTACAAATGGTAAAAGCCAAACTTTTGCGAAGACCCTTTTTTTGGAAAAATAATGTGGTTAATAAAAGTTTATTAAATTAATATGTTTTTGTGAAAGTTGATATTAAAGATCTTTTAAACTTCATAATAGCTTATATTAATCACACTTATGTTTCAGAGCACTGGAAATTTTGCTTGAAAATGGCAGAAAGAAATGCAGCAAAGACAAAAGATAACTCAAAGCTGAAAGCAAAAATCAGGAAATTTAACAATAATTACGATTTTCAAAAAGTGTTTGCAACAGGTTTAGTTAAACATTTGGATAATTTTACCAATAAATCATTTCTTCAAAATATACCTTGATTCCAAAAAACGTCAAAACGGCGAACCGAGCGGCGCCATCTTTTTGTGGCAACTCTCATCCCCCGGGGAAGGGTTATGAATGGTTAAAGATGACAAATTTTTCCCGGTAAAAGTGTTGACATTTATTATTTTTGAAAATGCGCAAATTGAATACAGAAAAATTCATTTTACAAAGAAAAATGACTGCTTGAAGTGCAACAGTTAATCATTACTAGAAAAGGGGCTCGGAGCGCTTTGAAATCAAATCTGTATTTTTTTAAAATGTCCTTAATCTAATTAAAAACTAAAAGTTTAAATATTCTGTGGCTAAAACTTTTTGCCGGGACAGCGCTGCGCCAAATCAACTAAACATTAAAATTGAAGGATTCTAGTTTAGTAGTTTATTTCAGGGGATACATGTACTATTTAGGAAATTTACCAAAAGATATTTTAAAAATGATTCAAAGAAAAGGGTTGTTGTGTCCGACTACTTAGACAAACCTTCGGGGGAAGGGAAAGTGATTTTATATTGTTGAATTAATTTCTAGAAAACTTGAACTGAAGAATCGGGAGTTGGAGAAGGAGCGTGATGAAGAGTCTAATAAATCCAGGTAAATAATATTATGACGTTATTGATGATAAACAACATATAAAATGTGTCAATTTAGGTCTTACTCTGAATTCCTGGAAGGTATAGTGGTGCAGATAAATCATAAAAGGTTTGCTAAAATTACAAATTGTTATGGTTTCTAAATCTAATTTTAAATAAATAAGGAAATGTAGTGAGACCACAGACAGGAATGATCCTCCGATAAAGAAGATTAAACATGAATCAGGTTTGTTCTAAGGAAATCTTTTAAATTTTATTTCTTAAACTCAAAAACTTTATTTAGAAGAATATGTTGAAGATATGAAGGATGTGGATTTGGTGAAGGATATTGAAACTTTCAATGATAAATCTGAAAACCTGACAAGTGTTCCAACAGCAGGTAATATTCCCATCTTTAAATAATGATTTCTCATTAGGCAAAATCTTTAGCTAAAAGTAAAAAAATCCGCAATCAAATGTAAAGATATTTGTAAAGATATATGCTAATAAAGATGAATGTTAAAAAATAAAAAAATATTAATTTCTACTTAATAACTTTTTAGTATTAAAATAAAAAAAACTATTTAAGATGAAAGCAAAGATGATGAAGGAAAGTCAAAAATCCAGGAAGAAAAAGAACAAGAAGCACAAGATTCCAATGAAAAACTGAAGATTGGGAAAAGGAACACAGAGCTGACACTGGAAGACTCTGATCTTTCAAAAAGCAATATTAGGTAGAGATGGGCATTATTTGAACAAACAACATTTTTGAGAATAAGTGAAATTATTCCTGAAAAATGGTTTTGTTCAGATAAAAACTAACGATGGACGAACGACTTGGATCGTTCATAGAAGTGAAAAAATAATAGTTGTTTTTCAAAACGAACGAAAAAAATAAAAAACGAACTTTTTAAAAACGATAGTATTTTTTACTGAATTAACGATTTTTTCGTAATAACTTTTTAAAAAACTGAAAGACCGATTTTACTTTACAAATGATTATAGTAAACAATCGTTCAGGGAGAAAACGAACGGAATAGATGGAAAATGAATGATCATATTTTGAACGAACAAAATCAAGTTTTTTGAACATTAAGCCGAACGCGCCCATCTCTAATATTAGGTTACTGCAGAAGGAAAAGGATGAATTACCAGCATTTGTTGATTCAATCAAGAATAAGTTGACTGAATTCTCATCAAGTCTACCAGTTCCTACAGTTGAGGAGGAGAGTTCAGGAGGAACAGGAGAGGATGGTTTAATTGCCCAGCTCACAAACCTGATCCACCAGAACAGGAACTTAAAGAGGGATGTAAGTGAGTCACAGCAGTTAGTTCAGGACCTTGAGAAAGATAAGCTGAAAGATACAACTGAGATTGCAAGACTAAAGGGGGAGTTACAGAGGAATGAAAGTGACTCACAGCAGTTAGTTCTGAACCTGAAGAAAGATAAGCTGAAAGATACAACTGAGATTGCAAGACTAAAGGGGGAGTTACGGAGGAATGTAAGTGAGTCACAGCAGTTAGTTCTGAACATGGTAAAAGATGAACTGAAAGATACAACTGAGATTGCAAGACTAAAGCGGGAGTTATGGAGGAATGTAAGTGACTGTTTTGAACATGAAGAAAGATAAGCTGAAAGATACAACTGAGATTGCAGAAAGGGGTGTAATGAGTGTATTCTTTCCAATGCCCAATGTTAATATTATATCAGTCTGACAATTTTTTTTAGAATTTTCATTCTTTAATTTCTTACAGGACTTAAAAATTGTTGGTTTATCCAATTTTGATAAAAATGGCAGAAAAAGAGGCAGAGAATTCACTTAATGAGGACGCACGTAATACACAGCCAACATCAAATAACAGGGAATTTAACAATTAAATTAAATTTAGAAATATATTTTCGTTAAATTGCAGTTTTAATGTTTTGCAGTGGACATTTGATTGGTTTTATTAATTTTCTTTTCGTCTGATGATTTTGTAAATGAATTTATTTAAAAAGTTTCCTATTGAAAAGGCGCACACGCCTGTTCAGCGAGTACAGCATCATTAAACAGGCCGGCTCATTTACTTCTTGCCGTCGTTTTTATTTGTATTGCTTGACCATTTTTTTAATAGGAAAAGTGTCAAGAATCCACTTTTTAAAATTGAATACAAATATTACCATAAATTGATGCGAAATTCATGATTCTGACTAGGGTTTCCAGCGGAAAAAACTTTCGCGAAAATGTGGACATTTTTTCGCATTTCGTTCGCTTGCGAAAAATGCGAACATTTCAATCTGTTTCGCGAAATAAGAAATGCGAAGATTTCGCGAAAAAAACATTATGCAAAAATATCGCGATAAAATACAGAATTTTATAAAAAAAATGCACAATTTTTGCGAAAATTTATTAAAAAGTCAACATTTCGACGCATATTTTGGGAAAAAAAATTTCTAGGAATTTATTCTGCTCGAAATATAAAGCGACCTATTGTAAAGATTTAAGAACAACTAGGAGGTAATTGATACATTTGCTTGTAAATTATTAATACCGTCTCAACCGTTAGAATCTCTTTCTTAAAACATAGCATAAAATATACTACGGTAAGAACAAAAATAATTCGGAATATTTTAAATTCACCCTGTAAAACAACTATCTGTTGGCTGGCTCATAGCTAGCTGGATTTTGGTGAACGTATGTGGACGGACAGAAACTCAGAAAGGTAGAGAAGTCAAATTATTTTCATCAAACTTGTATTCAAGTAAAGAAAGAGAAATTATGAATATTGTATAATAAAGCTTCTAATGTTAAACTCTCGGAGCAGAGAATTCCACAAGTTTTTTTTTGCTAAATCAACGTTTACAGCTTCATCACCTATGGTTTTCGTGAATTTTTTTTTGCACTGATTCTGAAATTATATTTCAGACAATCCTTTGTTTTAGTCAGCTGAACTTTCTTTTGATAAAAAATTACTAATGGTGCACAATACACATACTTATAGATTTAGAAAAATTGTTAAATTGGACTAATAGCTTACATAGAGACTTGGAACTTGAGAATCAGGAGTTAAAGAAGAAACTTGATGAAGCGCTTGAAACTTGTAGGTTTGTATACAATCTTAATAATTAATTTCTTTTTCAAAGCAACGCCTGTTTATAAATATTCTTTTCATATTTTTTATGAAACAGTTTTTTTTTAAAATCCTAATTAGGAGCTCTCGAGTTTATACCAGAGAAATAGAGTTAGACAAGTCAAAATTAGAAGAGATACTAAAAGTAAATAGGTAAGTATTTGAAAATATGCTTACACCATTATTAGATCCAAACCAGACAAAATCTTATAAGCTGGAAAAATTCGTGAATAAATTTTTAGAAAATTTTCCATCTGTCACGAATTATATTGCTTCAACTCGAAATTTTTTTCATGTAAATAATCGATTTCCTCTTCTCTTCCTGTGATTTGGAAAGATGTATTTTTCTATTCATAGCTTTGCAGAGCTGTGCTGGTGAATACTCTTCCAATCTTCTCCCCTAAAATCAAAAGTACCCCATTCTTTTTTCCTTTTTCCCTCTCCTCCGATCCTCATTTTCTTAAATTTTTTTAGTTTTTTTTTGTGTAAAACAGTCCTTATCGGCTAGATCAGTCCTGTTTTGTATGTATGTATGTTTATAAGAAATATTTATCATTAGTCGACATAGAATGTTAAAAATGTTAAATTAACATTATTATTATTAAGCTTTATTATGCTGATTCAAAGAAATCAAAGAAATCAAATTATTAATTCGTTGAATAAAAACAAACATAAGATCTGAATTTTTGTTAAATTCATTGTTTTAAAATTTAACATTCATTAACATCTCATTTTCATCCTACTTTGTATAAAGTTTATCTTTTGTTACAGATTGGGTGAAGACCAGTTTCTAATAAGCATGGAACAGCAAATGCGTCAAAGAAGGTTGGTCCAATTAAATCATAATGCAAGGGTGTATTAAAAATAAAAGAGTTAAAGGGACTGTAAGCGTAATTTCAAGTGACCTTCAATTCGAATAAGTCCAGTTCAGGTTCACAACAGTACCCTTTAACCTTCGACAGATCAAGGATGAGGGAGACCTATATAAGATGTTGATAATAAGGTGATAATTTGTAAGAAAGAGCGCAAAATCAATATTTAAAATCCTCCTGGCTCCTCAACACCATGTCTAGCCAGACACTCCTTTTAATTATAACTTTTATTTTCCGCCGCCTTTAGACGTTATATTAAATACTATCAGCTGAATTCTATGCTTTTATACAAAATATTTTTATCTGTGAAAACGCGAATAATTCGTATATTACTCGAATTTTTATTTAAATAAATTAGACTTTCTTTCTCATCATTGATCTGTCAAAGGTTTAACGGTTACCTTTGTGAATCTGAACTGGACTTCTTTGAATGGAAGGTCGCTTATACATTCTCTTTAAACTCTGTGATGTTTCTTTATATAATGAGTTCATGTCATTTGAATAAAATGTCCGTCCAGTCAATCAGTTAACACAGGGTTACCCAATGACCCAATCAGGATAAGACTTTAATGACGACCCAAAACGCACTGGATATTACAATTTGGCTTACTTTCTTTAATTTTGTTTTTTGTGTGTCTATGGTTAAGGATTGGATTTGTTTATGTAACGATTTGGAAATAAGATTAGCATATGCTTCGGGGAACCTTGAATGTAAGAAAGGAGACTGAACGATTCCGTACAGTGGTCTTAAAAGTTTCATCCTTTGCTTGTAACCCTGTATAAATCTTTATGTAAGTTAAACCCTCTTAAATTAGTTTTATATATGGAAATTTATGAATAAGTAAGAGGTAGTTGAACTAAGTACAGATGTTTTAACTTATATTTTGTAATTTAGTTCAGCAATTTACCTAAAAATGGCAAATTATCTGATCAAATGGTTTAAGAGTATGATTGAGACTTGAAACTCTAACCGTTACGAGGACTCGCTAAGCTATCCCTGTAAAGTATGATTTATTGATTTGATTTGAGCCTTTATGGGGGCTCAAAATTCACAGAGATTAAATCCATACCAGTAATAAGCCAAAACCTTAACTGCATTCATAAATTTTCATCTTTGTAAGATTATATATTAATATTATAGGCTCTATTATCTTTAATGGAATGGAAATAGTAGTAGAATGGTTTGGTCAAATTTTATATGGATAGTCTTCAACATCTTAGCGTGTGAAACAAAAGTCAGGGACTGCATAAAACTGCAATTATAAATTCAAAAGTAAAAAATAAAAATTAAAAAGTAGTTTTTTGAACTTGATTATTATATATGAGAGCATCCAAGTAACTGTTTATAATTTATATTGTTATAGAGAATGGAATAGCAAATGTTCTGAGCTTCAAGGTTTAGGAGTTGAACCTTTAACTAAAAAGAGGAAACTTGAAGGTATGAGACTTCTCTTAAGTTTAGTTTTATTTTCATTTTAATTTTAATGTTCAATATTTCTCAGGAGAATATATTGAAGATATCAAATATGAAATTAAATATGACATTTCCGAAACCATGCAGAAGGAATCTGATAAATCAGTGGAAGATACAACAGGTTTATAAAACAAATTATCTTTACTAGTTTTGAATTTAGAAATGATAATATAACTGTTACAGATGAGGTAGTCGTTTGCGGAGACGACATTGTTAAAGAGGGTGACACCATTGAGGATGATTCAGCAGTTGACTTAAAAGGTTCATCTCATTATTCGCAAACCCTGATTACTTATGTAATAATAATACACTGTTTTAGATGAAAGTGTTTATGATGATGACAATAATCCAAGTGACATGATTGAAGCAAATGAAACTATTAATGAAAATTACGACAACACAGTGATTGACTTAACAGGTTAAACTAAGTTTACCCATTAAACATGCATAAAGAGCAAGACAACCTTTTTCTCTTGAACCCAAGAAAATACAAATTTGTAAACATTAGTACCTCTTGAAATGAATATTTGTTTCCCTTTATAACATTAAATGTTTACAAAACTTGTATTTGTTCACTGATACTGTCAGAATTTTAAACTCAATTAATTTTAGTTTATTTCTTACATTAAGAAAATTTTCTTTTTATGTATTACAATCTTCAATCATTTAATAATATAATGTTTCCATGATGATTAGTATGGAAATTGCGATATTAAAATAGCTTCAGAGGAAAAACGATTATTTTCAGCTCACAAAATTTCTAAAAAATTATTTTTTTTATTTATATTCTTTAAATATTTTTTTTTATTTTCTCCATCTTTCAAAGTTTCACTGGAATCACACTTAATATACTTTCTCCCGTAAAACTTTTGGCGATTCATTTATTTTTATTCAATAAAAACAATCATTCTTTGTAGCAATTTTGTCATTTTCTTGAATTAGGCTCTTTATGAAGATGCTTACCCCGCCTGGCAGGAACATAAATAAACTCAACTTTTAAATGTTAACTTATTTCTGATATTCTCTTAGCCTAGTGTTTGTCCAGTCTGAATAATGTTCAAACAAATGTTTAAATGTTAACTTATTTCTGATATTCTCTTAGCCTAGTGTTTATCCAGTCTGAATAATGTTCAAACAAATGTTTAACCAAACCACATGTATTCTTATATTATTATAATATTATTATATTATAAATAAGTCGTGTCTATACTAAATAATAATGCTAATCTGATTTAGATGCAATGGAAGTTCAGAAAGAGCAGAAACAGTTGGAAGCACAAGACTCCAATGAAAAATTAAAAGCTGAAGAGAAGATCAAAGAGCTGACACTTAAAATCTCTGAACTTTCGAAAAGCTATATCAGACTACAGAAAGATAAAGATGAAATTCTTGATTCTATCAATGATAAGTTAAAGAAATTCTCACCTAAAGAACCAAGTCCTGCTAATCAGGAGGAGTTAAATCCAGAAACTAAAAAAGATATTGTAATGACCAAGCTTAATAACCTGATAGAACGGAATAGAGTTCTTCAGACTAGGGTAAATACTGAGAAGCAGTTAGTTCAGAACTTGAAAGAAGATAAATGTAAAGATTTAACTGAGATCGAAAGACTAAAAGATAACCTTGCAATTACAAAGAAGAAGATTGATGAACTGAATATTGATCATGAAGATTTAAACAAAACTAAGAATATCAACAAAGATCTTGTAGGAGAGGCCTTAAAAATCAAAGAAGAACTAAATGACTCAATCAAGAATATGGCTGTTCTTAAAGAAGAAAAAGAACAACTTCTTCAGAAGGTTCAAGATCTTGAGGTTAAAGTTAGTCAAATCGAAAAGCAGAGTGAAACTTCTAACTATAAGTTGAATTCCCAAACTATTCAACTGGTGAAGATAAAGAACATGTTGAAGGAATTTTCATCAGGAACCGAAAAGGATGATGTAATTGCCCAACTTACCAAACTGATCAACCAGAACAGGAATTTAAGGAAAATAGTAAGTACTCAAGATCAGGACCTAAAAAATAATAGAAATGAAATAACTAAACTTAAAGATGGATCAGTGTTTAAACAATTGCAAGAGCAAATAAAAGCAAAATTAGTAGAAATAACTCATTTGAAACAAGAAATAATTTATCTCAAAAAAGGCAACGGAATGCTTCAAGAAGAAAGGGAAGATCTTCGATCAACAATCAACCAACGGGTTGGCCTACGATCATATAGGCAAGGAGTCTACAATGTGGGAGAAAATAGAGGAGGATGCGTTTTACAGTTTGGGAATATTGTTGATGGAAATAATGAAGCTGAGGAAGAGCAGAGCAGAGGCGCTCTGGAGGACAGATTGGGAGGCCGCCAGGGGGGAATGTAGACAGAGACATTATAATTTCAAATTTGGTATTTCGAAAAATGTTTTGTACAACAAAATTTAAAATTTTTTAGTCTCAATAAGAACAAAGTTCATTAAATATGGTAAATAATGAGAAGCAGTTAGTATAAGGTCTTGAGGTTCATTCCTTAAACCTTGATAATGGTTCAAAATCAAAACTTTAATACAACTTTAATTAATTTTAAAGGCTAGACAAAAATGCTCTGGATTCAACGAAAAATTTAAAATTAACTTGCACTTATGATGAGTTTTATTGATATTAAGCTTTTAATGGTGATGGGAATATCTTATATTGTATACAAATTTGAATATTGTACAGGAATATTTATTTTCAGAAATTAGGAGTCGGGGTGGATGGGGGGGGGGGGGTGAAACACTGAATTTGGATTAATTTTCACAAAAAAAAAATATACTGGACTGTAACCGAGATAGACTGATCCAGATGATTGTCATTTATCAACTTTTAGTTAATTTCCGGCCCTTGGCAGATTTCTTTTGAAGAGGGATTGACCTGGAAGGTTAATTATTATAAGCATGAGTCGGGAGGGGAATGGAAACCAGTTTCCAAGAAAATATATACTCCTGAATTCACGTATCTTTACATTCATTAGATTTTATTTATGTCACATTTTATATTAGTTTTAAGCTATGGTGGAGAATATGCATTTTTCTTGGACTTTATTTCTTCGGAATGAAGGTTAATCGAATTATTTTTATTATCATAATACTAGCTGAAGGGCCCGGCGTTGCCCGTGAAAAATTTTTTTTAAAAAATTTATAAAATTAAAAAAAAAAATTCAAAAAATTTGGAAAAAAATATTTTAGAAAAAAATGTTTCGATTTTTTTTAGCCTATAACACCCCCTGGCCACCCATGTGTGTAATCCTTATCTTAGGAGACTACATTATTCTTACATTGGAGCGCATCGAGAGTAACCAACCTTATTATAAAACCTTGGCTAGAAATACTGCTGTTTTTAATGTACCACAAGACTTGCACAGATTTCTAATTGAAAGCGTTTTTTCACGCTTATTTGTAAATTATTTACTAGGTGTGTACCCTTCTTAAAAACTATGGAATTAAGTTCACAGGAATTGGTTCTTTGCCACCAACTAAAAATTTTGAATTTAAATATCTTTACAACCCGATGGTGTAAACCTTTGTTATTTCAAACTTCCCAGTAAACCAGATCACATCGACTAAGCGTCGATTCCACGTTACCTTTTCAACCTTGACGTGGATATATCGTCGTATATTATCATGTTATCATGTACTCAAATGACGGTCGTAAATAAGACGTTAATACCATGTTGAAATGGTCTAAGCAAATGACGTCATAAATGATTCAAATCTCAACGTCGATATGATGTCAATATGTCCATGGTCGAAAAAAATTTGAAATTATTTCGACCAGATTCCATAACGACTCCACGTGGAAAAACGCCTAAATGGCGACCTTGTCGTCGTGCGACGATATCTGGTTTACTGGGTTAGATTATTTGATCTAATTTATAGTTTGAAATAACTAGGTCTCAAACTTCAGGTTGCATAGATATAAGAATTAAAAAATCAGAGTTCGTGGTAAAGAACCAATTCCTTTGAACTTGTTTAAATTTTAAATTTTTAGTTGGTGGCAAAGACTCAATTCCATTCCGCTTTCGCCATTAGATTTCTTCCCAATTTATGTAAAATAAAAAATAACATGTACACCAGTTTTGGATAGAAATTTATATTCTATAGAAAATTAAATTTTGATCGGAGTAAAACTTTAAGATTTAAGAGTTAACCATAATGTAAACTCTGAGGAAAACTACGTTTAGTTTTGCCAAGTCAAAGTATAATTGAGAATTTGTTTTTGTTTATACTATGGAACACTAATTAATAATGATGTTGGATTCTCAAAATATAAGTATGGTTATGGGTTTTGGTTTTATTTTAGCTTATTTTCAAAAAAACAACAAAAAAAACAAAAAATACAAAAAATTGAAAAAAAAACAAAAAAAGGAAAAAGCAAAAAAGATTTAAAAAAGGGAAATCGGTTTTAAAACTGTTTTTTTAAATTATTGTTTAAAACCTATTGTATGCAAATAGTTCAGTAACAGTTACACATAGGTACAGGGTGTCCCACATCAAATTAGACCGCGTCAATGGGTCTAAATTACGAATTGGGGGACAAATCAGAAAATTTAAGAAGAATGATCATTTTAAAAAATTTAATAAGGCTAATAGAAAATTTTGTTGGCAGAAAATGTTAGATTTTTCGCGTATTATGTGCGTATTTTGGCGTTATAAGATTGTTGATAATCTAATATGATATGGGACGCTCTGTATCTTGGTTAAATAGACCAATACGTTTGAAATTCATGCTGTTTCTTTAAATTCGTTAAAATTTAAACTAATGTAATTTTTAATTAATCATTTTAAATATTCATGTTGATTCTCAATAAAATTGTTCCAATAAATAAAATGTAAATTTTAATTTTTTTCACACTTTATTCTTTCAGAACCATGAACCCAATAATAGCCATTTTATGGGTTATAATGTCAACATTCCAACATATAAACAACAGCACGGGAGTGATGGTAAGAAATCTGGGAAAACATCTTGTTTCGTTGTGTAATTATTGGTTAGAAATAGAACTTACACCATCTCTCCTGGAACTGATTTTCACAAACATTGGAATATTTTTAAAACAAATATTAGAAAAGAATTGGGTCACTGAAATATTAAAAGCCACACTTTAAAACATAGAGGACATCTCAAGTTTGTCGTTTAAAAACAACTTTAATCAAAGCATTGACTCCATTGACAGAATTGCTAAGAAACTAGAAAACCAAATATGGGAAAGGATCAAATGTATAATGGGAGAGTTAGCTACGAAAGAAATGGAAAGTATCATTCAAGATAATTGTTCTTAATCGGTAGTTTTTGGACAGAAAAATATTCAAGGGGCAAAGAAACTTTACATTTTTCATATTGAAGTACTTAAAATTGAAAAACTAAATTTTGCATTTAAAATGGGTGTCAAATTTTGATCATTGATAAACCTTCTATGGGGTCATGTGAGGACCCACACAAAATTTAAGTGCCCGATTGGTTTAGTCGTTTTGACGTTTATTGGATACACAAACACAGACATGCAAAGTATATAAAGATACATAGAAATAAGTAATTCAAACCCTTTTTTTTCAGGTTCCACAGTTATTCAGGATCAGAATACAACAATCAGGAAATCCAACAAAAATATACTAATGTTGTTTGGTCTTTGTGAAAATTTTAGTCTTTCAAGGGGCTTTTACAGGGTTAGGGTCTGTATAGATCCTAATAGTAGCTTCAGCGACTATTGAAATTTTTAAGATTTGTACTAAGTTGTAGGTTCTCTTGGCGGCTTGCCCAATTTTTATCTTCTTGAAATTTTTAAAGCGGAAAAAGTTATGGTTGGATTTATTTGAAGAAAGCTAGAACTGGACAGTATTCGGTTACAAGAGAGACTTGAGCTTGCACGGAACACAACAAGGTTATTAAGTTAGAGCTAAGATATGTTGTCACAGTCATTTGGTTATTCTTGATATATTTTTAATAGTCATTTTTTCATGCTTATTTCTTCTTTTTTATGCTAGTTGTCTTAAATTCATTTTCAACGTTTGTCTTTGTAAAGAGAAGACTCGGATGAGTTTCTTGGGTTCATTGTTCTCCTAATAAATCAGAAAAGGTATATCTGAGCTTGAGATATCTGATTAATTAATTCTGAGTGTTTCTTACAAGTATTAACCCTATTCCCGCTGGGGGGGGGGGGGTCAATTTGACCCCCCCCTGTAGTTTTTTTTTACATAACTCAAAACGTATTAGTCTGAGGCTGTTGAAATTTTCTGACTTTTCTTACATACCCAAAGCCCTCCCTTTAGGCCTAAAACCGGGCTTTAATACTAACTGCCTGAGTCCTCAGGCACACTGCCTGAATGACTGCTTTTGCCTGTAGCAAACTAAATCTTTGTTTTGACCCACTTTCACATGTCAGATTTTGATAAAATTTAGCTTTTTGGAAAGCCTATGACATAAGGAAACGAATTGCACAAGTTTTGCGAAAAAAAAATTGCAAATTTTTTGCAAAAATTCTGTCAAAGGAAATTGGCACATTTTTAGTTTTTCTTGATTAAAAATCAGGTTATTTAAAATTTTGCAAAAATTTTTGCATATTTGAAATGGCATGGTCAAGGGCTTTTCAAAAAATGTATAATTTGTCATTTTTTGGACAAATTTTTTTTGCAAACATTTTTACTATAAAACTGGATTTTGCGATAAAAAATTCAATTTTCGCAAATTTGCAAATTTTTTTACAGATTCTAAAAGTAGAGCACAAGAGCTTTCTAATGATGTATCATTTGTCATATTTGGACATAAAACATGGGATTTAGAGGGGGGGGGTCAAATTGACCCCCCCCCCCAGCGTATCCTGGTTTTTAAGTACCCCAGCGGAGATAGGGTTAATCAATCTGTCTTGGATTTCCTTAATCTCTTTCATTGAAACCTCAACCTTTTTTACATCATCATTAAAAGATTGAATAAAGAGTTCCATTTCAGAGAAGGCACACTCAATCTTATCATTAAACTCATCTCTTTCAGAGTGATTTTCATCTAAAGAAGACCGAATTTCAGTCAAATCAGTTTTTAATTTCTTCATTTCAGAAATTACAAGACTTCTGTTTTGAATACAACGAGCTCCAATACTACTGTATTCACGAGCAATTGCAGCACGCACGTCGCACATGCTCTGTGATACGTATCTCAGCAGCAGAAATATACTTAGCTAGATCTTTCTGTAGCTCCTGTCTTGCACATGACATTTGCTGGTCTGTATGCACATAAATCTCAGAAATTTTAGCAGCCAAGTAATCCATTGAAGAGCTACTTTCAAGATTTACACTTTCCACATCAGTACCCAATGAAACAGGGGTTTGGTTTCTTGTGGCCTTGGTGGGTGGTTGTGACACAACTTTCATATTATCTACAACAATGGTTGCATAATCTAAAATGTTAGTGAGAGGAAGCTCATAACAACCATCATCTTGATTTATCAATGATCGACAAGTACTCCGCACCTTGTTAAGAATTAACAAATATTGGTCGAAAGATTCTTGTGACAAAGGCTCCTGAGAATAGGCAGCAATTTTCTCAACCTGAGAGTTCATTGACTTGATTTGATCCCGTAAATCCTCCAGGTTTCTATCAGAACTAGCTGTAGATAAACCTTGTGATCGAGTTCTCATATTAGACATGGTCACATATGGTTAAGAGTACATAGATAACAAGTTTCCAAGTAGTTGGAAAACATAAACGGTGCTCAAATGATGCATTTATATTTACAATGTAACCTTGCAATAGTGAGCTTGGATGTACATTGTACAAAACTAGATTGAATAATTTCCATACAACTGGACAATTAACAATGTTTATAGCACAAAAATCTATTCCTGCAATGTATCCCTGCAATAAAGAGCTAGAAATTACATTGCAGAATAAACAGGCATTTAAAAAAATTAAAGGAAGTTGTGAACAATCCCTATAATGTTGAATCCCTTCAATGTACAGCTGGAAGGTTATAAAGCACAGTCCCTTTAGTTTATTGCTATCTAGGGTTGATGAGTCCCTTTAGTTTATAGCTACCTAGGGTTGACGATTCCCTTTAGTTTATAGCTACCTAGGGTTGACGATCCCCTTTAGTTTATAGCTATCTAGGGTTGACGAGTCCCTTTAGTTTATAGCTACACAGGGTTGACGAGTCCCTTTGGTTATAGCTATCTAGGGTGTTTCTTGAGCAATCCCTTTAAATGCTAGTGTAAATAGGCACTTAATATCATCATATGGGATTAAATTGATCAGAATTGAAAACGCCTCAACACGGAAATGTCTCAAAAAAACGGACTCATAAAACTAATTTAATGTCGTCTTCTCTCATTAAAAAAAAATTTTACAATTATTTTACCATTAATTTAGGGTAAGTTAGGTTGCGCCGCAGGCTACGAAGGGGGCCGAGCGCTGCGGCTAGGATGGCTATAAGGGGCCGAGCGCTGAGACTAGGACAGGCTAGGGGGCCGTGCGCTACGGCTAGAACAGGCTAGGAGGCCGAGCGCTGCGGCCATGGCTGTGAAAATCAGTAGAATATAGTCTTTTAATTTTAAGTTGAGAGAAGACGACATTGAATTAGTTTTATGATTCTGTTTTTTTGAGGCATTTCCGTGTTGAGTCGTTAATACATTATACTGAACATAAAAAAGTTAAAATTTAATAGACTAAACAAATTCTTTCAAGGAAAAGAAATAAACATTGAGGTCAAGTCACTGAACCTCTTACTAAGAGAAGAAAAGTATCCGGTGTGTCTTAGTTCCGAATTATATTTATAGGTTTACTTTGCTAAATTAAACTTGAAATATTCAGGTAATCTTGAGAACAATGCTGAACTTGAGGACGAAGTCTCTGAGGATGAACAAGCGTATTCTGATGGAACAGAGAACGAACTGAATATGTTAACCGAGTCAGAGGACAGTGGATTTATATCTGAAAAAGTAAATGTTGCAAAAGAAGACCCAACGAATTATAGGTAATGATGAGCATTTTTTTGGTTCGTTTTACGGTTCGTTTTTGCCTTCATTTTCCTTCATGGTTAATAAAGATGGCAGTGAAAGGAAAATAAAAATATTGCAAAGTTATCAAAAAGGTAGTTTTAACCATACAGTTTTGAAATCTTGCTAAGTTTTATTTGAAGCTTTTTAAAACCTAACCTAAACGATATACAATTCACATATTTCAGGTTGGTAAAGCTCTGACTACAAATGCAGATCCAGATCATGCAATTATTGGCAAATCAAAAGACAGAGACAATATTTCTCATGATATCGAGCCTGAAGATAGCACTGCATTTCATTAAGAACCTGAGGACGATACATTTCCTGATGAACCAGATAACACTATTGGATTTTCTGATGAACCAGATAACACTATTGGATTTTCTGATGAAGCTGATAACACTATTGGATTTTCTGATGAAGCTGAAAACAATGCACAGTTTTCTGATGATCCAGAGGACAGCTCACAATACATTAATGCTCATGAGCGATATGAAGATGAGCATTCATCAGGTTAATAAACTTTACAATTCTTAAACAAACTACTGGGTTTCCCCACAGTCTTTTATTCCAAATCACTTTCTACAACAACTAAAGACTATTATGGAAGTCGCACATTGGGAATGAAAATCTGAATTTAACTAAGCTGAAATAAATTAACTTAAAATTCTATCTAAAGAACCGGATTATTTTTAGCTGAGAGTGGTCTGATGATTGATGGTGAAGGTGAAGAAAGTAAGAAAATAAGAAGCTTTGCTGGAAGATCATGAATCTTGAGTCTAATGAGGAAATGCTCCTCAAGAAGCAAAAAGATCTTGAAGTGAATTTTTATAAACCAAGGAAACAGTGAAAGTTGCAGACGATAAGCTAATCCGTTATCAATGGCAAATAAAAGCTCTCAAGGCCATTGGAAGAGGATTCAGGGACAAGTATCAGAAGGCTGAGACTCAAGTTTCACCCCTCAACGAGAAGAATGCAGATTTGGAGTTGGCTAATCAAAATAATTTGGAGGTTTTGGAATCCGCAAAGAATAACGAAGAACGAAAGATGGAATCAAAGGATGAAGAAATTGGCCATCTTCAATCAATTGGTTTTAAGATGAGAATGACCGGATTAAAGACGAAAATAAGGGGCTTTTGGAGAAGCAAAAAGATCTGGAAGTGAATGTTCGTAAACTAGAAGAGCAGTGTAAAGTTGCAGTTGATAAACATAAAACGCAAACATGTAGTCTCAAGACCATTGGAAGACAATTTAGGGACAGGTTCGAGATTGCTCAGACTAAAGTTTCTTCTCTCTAAGCTGAAACTGAGAGACTAAGCGAAAAGAATGCAGATTTGGAGTTGACTAATCTAAAAAGTTTAGAAGCTTTAGAATCCTCAAAGAATAAAGAAGAAAGAAAGATGAAAGCAAAGAATGAATCAATTGGACAACTTCAATCCGAGAGTCTCTTTACATTTTACTTACGGGATGGTAAACGTAATTTTAAGTGACCCTTTATGACCACTGACCAAGTCCGATTCGCGACCGTATCTTCAAATTTGCATATTTGCCTTTAGATAGAAATGGTTGTCAGAATTAGCAACATTAAACAGGGAGTTTTTTTTTTGATTTTTGTGATTTTTGAAAATCTTATGTCTCAGCCATTTAAAGAAAATCTTTTTAATTTAAAAAAAGTTCCGAATAGCATTTTAATGGACGTAGATCAGGTTATAATTGAGTACTGTTGTGAATCTGTCACGTCTCTCTTTTACATGGCGGGTCATTTGAAATTACAATGTAAGTCCAGTACCAAGATTAGTAGTTTTTAGGGTTTCCAACACAAGTGGGTTTTTGTTTGCAAGACTTGTAATTCCGTGGAATTCCGCGCAACAGAATTCCGAGTGCAAACCCGGTAGAATTCCTATATTTTGTAGAGTGTGACTAAAAAGTTAATCCAAGCAATTTTTAAAAACAAATTCTGGTTTTTCTCCGCAATGCGTACAGAGCGTACATCTTTCATTACAAAACAACAAATGAAAAAAATCTTTTCATTGTGTGAATTCGAGGGGAAAGAGTTTTAAAAATACATTAAAAAGCCAGTTTTTTGTATATTTACTATCCCAATAGTTTATGCAGCTAAGTAAAAAAAAAGTGGACTAAAGCATTTTAGACAAATCAGAATTAAAAGAGATTAGTTTTTCTTTAGAACAAGGGGAGGGATGATTTTTTAAATCTTAGAAATTTCATAATACCATTTCAATAAATGGGAGTTTATTTAAAACGGTTCTTTAAGACAACTTTTGACCCTTTTCAATTGATTAGAAACTGTTTGGCTAGCTTAAGAATTGTCTGAAGATGAAGTTAAAAAGGTTAGGAGTTCCTATCACTGATAACTATGGAGGGGCTATTTTTAGTTTTTGAATTTTTATCTTGTTGTTCAAAATCAAACCAAAGATTGAAATAAGCCCCATTGAGACCTGATCAATGATCATACAGGGTGTCCCAAAAAAAATGGGAATTCAGTAACGAATTCGATATCGTCTTTGTTATGAATTAGCATTGTAATACCTAATTTCAAAAGCCATAATATTATTATGTCTGCTAGGGGTAAAAGACTGTAAAGATGTGCCTATAATGTCTCCGCAAGATGAACAGTGAAGACGGACAAGTTACTCTGTTTGTATACTGCAATTTTCTTGGTTTACTGAAGACAATCGTATGCAGTCAAAATATAAACAAACAAATTTTGTGACCATAGCAGACGAAACTCTTACAGATTACAGCTTTCTCAGTAGGTATCACTATACTAAATCAAAGAATTATTTGAAAAGACACTATCGAATTCGTCACTGAATTCCCATGTTTATTGGAACACCCTGTATGATCATTGACCAGGTCTCAATTATTTTCGAATCATTTGGTCTTCTGAAATACCTAACTAAAGTTAACTTCATTTTTTTGGCTTATGTCAAAACACAATCATCCCTTAGAAATCAATTTTATCTCCTGGTTTGATTCTGAAGAAATGATAAAAGATAAAATAAAAATCTAATCGCCCATTTAGAAAAACATGGGGTTTGCTGGGCATTGAAATCTTTATAAAATTCAACTTCATACTGAATATGAAATATTTATGTGATTGTGTATAAGCTCCCACGATACTTTTTGCCAACTGACAAGAGGTGGAAAGGGCCTCAAAAGAGCCTTAGCAAAGTAACAGCCAATTTATTGTAATACTATTTTAGTCTGGTCTAGCTATTATTTGCTAATAAAGCGATCTAAATAAAACTGAAATTTACGAATGTGAGTCTGCTGACTCGATTTTTTATTTTATTAATTATTTTGAATCATTGCATTTGGGCAGCTTCACAAATGATTTTCTTTCTCTAAAATACACATTTGTTTACAAATCCGGGAAAAAAATATTCTTTTAAATTTTCAAATGTTTTTTATATCATCTCTTCCATTGTTCCAAAGAATACTTTTCTATTCTAATCTTTTTAGTATAAAACGATTTTTTGTCTCATTTTTATTTATTTTAACCTTTGTTGCATAAACTTCTAGGTCGGTAAATACTAAAAAAATGGCTTCCTTTTCTTTGATGGGTTTCTATGCAATTGTTGAAGACTTTTATAATTTTCTTTTTGATAACGAAAAATATACGTATCTCCGAGAAATATATACGTATCTCCGAGAAAAATATACGTATCTCCGAGAAAAATATACGTATCTCCGAGAAAAATATACGTATCTCCGAGAAAAACCAGAGTTAGTAAAAAATATGTTGCCTAAAGCTTCCCCAACATTCATGATTTGATTTGATTTGGGTCGCATTCTACTTGTCAAAACTACTAAGTTAACTATTTGATTAAATATGATGCATCTAATTTTAATACTAGCATGAGAACTATGTACCTTATCTCATCAACTTCATACACCACTTGCACCACTCTTCTTTTCATGCATCTTAAATCGTTAATGTATGCTAGTCTTTTCCAACTCTATAATATCCATTTTATTTTATCATTTAGAACATGTAATTTTTTCATAGTGTAATGATCCATTATATTGTTAGTTATTTATCTTAAAGGGAGTGTTCGAGAAAAATGAAAGGGGTATAGGCTTAATGCGATAAAAAAGCGCTTTTGATCGCTACTAATCTTACTTCTATCTGTTGCGTCTGTAAGGAGGAAATTGTTAAAGATGTCTCATACCGAATAACTTAGCGGCCATACAAATTCAGAAAATTGCAACATACAACTTAGACCGTAAAAAAATCAATTTAATTTCAAACAAACCATTTAGATATTACAACCTATAGACATCGATTATCTTTCGCGGCATTTGTATTTAGTTTATATTTTATAATATTTTTAAAATTAATTTGTTTATTTCTCTTGTCGCTTGCGCAACTATCTAAGAATGCCGCACACCACTCACAATTTTCGAAATCTGTTGAAAACGTTTTCTAAAAAAAATAAAATATTATAAAATATAAACTATATATAAATGGGCGAAAGATAATTGATTTGTTTGAAATTAAATTGATTTTTTACGGTCTAAGTTGTATGTTGCAATTTTCTCAATTTGTATGGGCGCTAAGTTATTCGGTATGAGACGTCTTTATCAATTTTGTCCTCATAGACGCAACAGATAGAAGTAAGATTAGTAGCGATCAAAAGCGCTTTTTTATCGCATTAAGCCTATACCCCCTTTCATTTTTCGCGAACACTCCCTTTAATGTTTGGTTTCGGGATTTACTGCTAAAGCATTATTTGATAATTTTATTTTTAATGTTATATTTCAGATTGTGTACTCTGAGTGAAAGCCCCACTTAGATTAATCGGACTTCTGGAAAGTTACGAGATTTTTAAATTATTGAGAAAATCTTTAAGGTAGGAGAGAAAGCCACATTTGCAATTTTATCTTTTGAAGAGATTGTAAGCGTAAATTTAAATGACCCTCCATGCAAAGATAGCAATGTCCGATTTACAACGGTACCCTTGAGACCTTGATTTGATCAAAAATGTGGAATAAAACGACGTTTTTCTGACTTGTGCATTTCTTCATTGTTTCTTACAATTTAGAAATGCGCAAAAAAACACAAATGAAAGTAAACAATATACATATCTAATTAATACTTGACCAGGCAAAGCTTTTAAGGTTACCGTTGTAAATCATGCATTGCCCTCTGTGCTTGAAGAGTCCCTTGAATTGACGCTTCTGTCCAGTTAAAATAATTTTTTAGACAACAGTTTGTCAAGATGGCTCCTAGGAAATCCGTAGTCGATCCAGCAGCTGTTCAGGATCAGAATGCAACAATTAGGAAATCCAACAGAAACAGTTCTTTGTATGCATATTTACAGGAGAATTATAAGCTTAACCAAAAAGAATTTTATCACAAGTTGCGGAAGATATCGTTGTTTCTAGCTTAAAGATCTCACAATTTCCTCCAATGTTTCTGCAGCTGCATAAAGTTGCACATTAAGAAACAAAAAAATACGCGTTGCATATCTTATTCATTCTTGATGAAACGAAGCTTTAATGATGATGATGTAAATCGGACATGCCTCTATAGTTACTAAAGGTTTCTTGCAATGATATGTATTGTATAAATACGACTTTTCCACGATTTATAGAAATTTTCCTAAAAGTTTGGTGATAGTTATTACCACTGATTTTGACATGCATTTTTAAATTGTTAGATTTTTTTTTTGAAGAAAGCTTGAACGCGCCAATATCCGGTCGCAAGAGAGACTTGAGTTGGCACTCAGCACAACAAGGTAATTAAGTTAGAGCTTAGATGTGTTGTCACAATCATTAGTTGAATGTTGATCTATTTCCTAAAACTTTATTCTGAATTTATCTTATTATGCCAGTTGTCTTAAATTCATTTTAGACGTTTGTTTTTGTTGTAAATGTTTCATATTTTGTCTAGAGAAGATTTGAGTTCTTGAGTTCATTGTCCTCCTGATAAGTCAGATAAAAAAGTTAAACATTTAATAATTTGTAAAATGTTGTTTAAGGAAAAGAAATAGACTTGGAGGTCAAGTCACTGAACCTCTTTCTAAGAGAAGAAATGTAATATCAGGTCTGTGAAGTCCCGAATAATTTTTTTAATGTTTACTTTGTTGAAATTAACTTGAAATATTCAGGTAATCTTGAGAACAATGCTGAACTTCAGGACGAAGACTCTGCGGGTGGACAAACTGATATTGCTGGAATAGATGATGAACTGATAACTAGAGAACCTGCGGACAAAACTACATGTCCTGGTGATTATGAGGACACTATTGAATTCTCTAATAAAACTGAAGAAGACACTGCTCAGATTTCTGATGATTCAGAGGACAGCTCACACTATTTTGATGCTCCTGAGACACCTGAAGATGAGAATTTACCAGGTTAATAAGCTCTCAAACTCATTAACTAACTTACTGTTAAAAATGTATGTATTTATTACAGGGGATATTCAGTTAAACTGAATTACTTGAATCAAATGCTTTTACCTTTTTTGTTTGATAAGTAGTAATTTGTAAATTTAATTAAATTTAATAGTTAAAAAAAAAACTAATTCTAAAAACGTATCCACCCCCAAAGTAGGAGTTTTGAACGTCGAATTTGCGCTCAAACTCAGGATTTACAGATCTTAAAAAAGTTTAATATGTCTCAAATGAATCCGATAGAAGTTTTCCACAACACTGCATACTCAGTTCCACTACCTCACATAGCCGGTCACTCTCTTTAAACATTTTTTTTCTTCAAAAAAAAACCAGCCCAGTGGGTTTTAATGGGTTTTATTGTGTTTTTTGGGTTTTTCAATTTGAAAGTAGTTAAAACCTACTAAAATTATAGTTGATAATAATAAGTGTGCACTTTTCAGCCCTTTGCGTCTCTCAATTTATTTTTATGATATTATTGTAACTTGAAGGTTGCAGGAGTAAAGGGAATTGTTTTCGATTATTTAATCATCCTGCATAGATAGTTCTTGAGCGGATCACACTGGTTCAGCCTTTTTCTTTCAGGCTGTAGTTTGTTCAACAATAATAGTTCAGATTTTACAATAAGACTATTTAAGCAATAGGCGAATCTTATAGTTAAAAAAAAATTAAAATGTTGTGATAATAGGCTGTAATCCTATATAAATACTCTTCATATACAATAATACAGAGGAAATTAGTTCCAAAACTAACACTTGCAAATTTATCTTTTTCAAGCGTATATATCTTTAAATCCAAGCCGAGTTGAACAAAACTATTCCATATATTTATCAAAAATGGCTAAAACTAATTATCGAAACAAGAATTTTCAACTTTAAACTAATAATTAAGGTGTGAGAATTAGTTCTTGGTGAAATTGGTTTCCAGTCCAGAGTGACGAGTCTGACTTCTTTGATTGATTCAATATTTTCTTCTAAATAAATCAATATTCTAACAATGTTCACTTTGTTAAGATCATTGGTCTAAGTCTTTGGAAATGAATAAATTAGTCAGTTTTAGTGCTGTGAACTCCTAAAAATCAATACAGTTGATAATAGACGTTATTTCTTAAAAACTTTATCATTATAAGAGTAAAGAACAGACAATAATTAAAAAAAACATGAAAATCAATAAAATCAAAAAAGCCCACTTACAGGTGTTTTTTTTAACTTGGGTTTATTGGGGCTGGTTTTTTTTATGCCAACCTTGGCTTAACTGAGTGTTTAAATGCGTTGTATTGCTTATCGACTGTAAAGTAAGATCAAGAGAATTCCAACAAACAGGAAAAGAGTAAAAAGCCAGAAATTTGTTATACACGAGAAGTAAAAAAAAATCATTGAAGTTTCTTATTGGATCGGGATGTATTTGATCAGAAAAAGCTTTCTCTGGTTCCTTTGTAAATTAGGCATTGACATCTGCAAGGAGGGTCAATTAATTACGCTTTCTGTCACTTTAATAAATAAAGGAATTGAGTCTTTGCCACAAATTTTGCTTTTCTAAACCGTATACTTTTGGATTTCAATGTCGTAGACCTTAGATATTTCAAACTATGAATTCTGTTAGATCAAATGATATAAGTTTGAAATATCAAAGATGTAAGACATTGGGTTCCAAAGATATAGGGATTATAAATTCAGAGTTGGTAGCAAAGACTCCATTCCTTTATTTAAATTGAGAATATGATTAAAGAATCTTAATTATATAGCTGAGAGTAATCTGATGACCGATGAAAAATCACAACTGAAGATCGTGGAACTCACTGAGGAAATAGAGAAGGTTTCGGTGGAAAATAAGGAACTTTACTCGCAGTTTACTTTACAAGCCATGGATGCCGTAGAATCTGCAAATAATGTGGCTCAGAAGATGAAATTGAAGAATATTGTGGTTCAAGATGAGAATACTCGGCTCCAATATGAGAATACTCGGCTCCAAGATGAGAATACTCGGCACCAAGATGAGAATACTAGGCTACAAGCTGAGAATATTGAGATTCGGAATGAAAGTGCTGAACTTAAGCAGGAGAATGCTCAACTACGCGTTGAGAAAGCTCAGTATCAAGTAAAGATTGTTCATTATAAAAATAAGAATGCTCAGTACAAAGAGAAGAAGGCTTGGTACAAAGAGGAGAATGCTCATTACCAAGAGGAGAATGCTCAGTATCAAGAGGAGAATGCTCAGTACCAAGAGGAGAATGCTCAGTACCAAGAGGAGAACGCTCAGATCAAAGAGGAGAATGCTGAGTATCAAGAAGAGAACGCTGAGTATGAAGATGAAAATGCTCAGATCAAAGAAGAGAATTATAATCTTCATACTGAGAATAACTGGCTTCAAGCTGAGAATAACTGGCTTCATCAACAACTTCAGAGGAAAACCTACCAGTGTTCTCAATCAGGGGTAAATATTCTTATTAAGTTCAGGAACAGAATTTAATGAATTTGAGCCAGGTTACTGAACTTTTCAAATCTGAATCACAGAAACATTTAACTCGCGAAACATCTTGACAAAAATAAATAATTAATGAATTTTAAAGCTTAGAATTCTCCCATAGCAACTTAAAATATCTGTAATAGAATATGAAATGGGGAAAGAGGAATCATCAGTGGTATTAACCATGTGTATATAACCGTATCAATGGTACATTAGCAGTCTAATCCTCCAGGTAACAGTTATCATCTTAAAACTTTGCAGTTCCTGTTCTTCGGATGATAAGAAACTTTTCTCATTTTTTCAATCAATTAGTTTTAACTTACATTTATAAAGCTCAAGCTATAGATATGAACATTTAGATACTAAGAGTATAAAGATACAAGTAAAACAAGTAGAAACAGATTTTCTTAGTACTTGTTACATTTTTACTTTCATTAGACTTACTTTTTAAAAGTGCTCCAAAAACTACCTTTAAACAAGGATATATATTTTGTAGTATCCCTTCAGACCCCTGGGGAATGTATTTAACAGATTTAGGGGGAAATTCCCTTGCATTCAAACCCGGGGGTTTTCCACCCCTGAAAAAAAAAACTAATATATTTAACTTATTATTATTTATATAAAATTGCTTACTTGTTTAATTTATATAGATTCTAGAATCTTGGGGAAGCAGCTCTCTCAATACACAACATTACAGTGCGAAATTCAGTTGAAATAAACCCAGTAATAAATGATTATCTGAATATGTACTGGTCTCTTGTTCATGTATCTTACTAAAACCACCATGTTATTGTTCAGCTGTGCTGAGGTCCCTGAAAAGCATATTAAAACTCCGATGTACTCTTGTCTCCTATTTTACTATCTTTTTATAAGACTGCATTATTTATTCCTAAATAAATGGTTTTGGATCGTTGGGAACTTGTTATTTTTACGTAAAATATTTGTATTTTTTCAGAGTTAATGCAATGAATTGTGTCTGATCATAAGATACAAAGTCTGATCATTCTGAACAGGGTAAGATTTTAAATACTTGTTTGAACATGTTAAACAGAATTGAGAGGCCTCGCCCTCTTGATTCTTAATAAAACGCTTAACAATTATTACTTCTGTTGGGACTACTTGTAGAACGCATTTGCGGCATCTTCTATCGTTCTTATTGGATATGTTTTACAAATAAAGGTTAATTTTACACCCTTTTTTCTGGTAAAATTATCGGGCAACTTGCATGTTAAAGGTTTCTCAATCATTATAATTTACGTAATTTTCAGTGACTCTTCGTTTATGGAGTGACATGTCCAATTTACTATGGTACCCTTTAAACCTTAATCTAAGCATCGATGAGGAAGATGTCGTCATTTTTCTTTCTCGTAAAGTGTTAATTTCTGGCAATAAACCGCAAGTCACACTTAAAAGTAACGTTGTGAACAGATCATATTCAATAAACGTGAAAACGGCTGAACCAATCGGGCCCAAATTTTGTGTGGGACCTCACATGACCCCAAGGGAAGGTTTATGGATGATCAAAATTTCTAAAAATAGACTTTTCGATTTTCATTTAATTTTGAAAATCCATAAAATTTTCATTTAAAATCCGCAAGCTTTTTTGTTTTACATTGTATACAAAGAGAAAATGTTCACAATTGAAATAAAAGATTGGCGCGAAGCGCCCTAAAAGCCTAGTTCTTTAAACGGAAGGTCACTTGAAATTACGCCTTACTACGTTCTTCTTAAAATTATAAATTTCCGAGGAGATGGATAATAGAGTAACCGATGGTGTCGAAAATCCTTCAAAAAGGATAATGATCGAACCTCCTCAGTGCAAGAATATTAGAGGTAAAATTTTGGATTGAATGTTGTTATAAAGGAATAAAATATATAATTTATAATTTATAAGTACTTTTCTATGATATGTTGATAAAATAAAATTTTAGAATACGTGGAAGATATAGAAGTTGAAGTTAAAACTGAAGATAAAGGAACAGTTGGTAAGTTTTGCAAACTCAAATGGTGGCACTGAATACTGAATAGTATACAGTGAGATCTAAAAATTTCATTTGTGAAAAATAATTTTTATTTATGTGTAAATGTTATCCATGTTTGAAGAAGTGCCAGACAATATTACCGGGATATTTCTGGTTCCTTAAAATAATTTAAAAATAATTAAGAGGATTTTAGTTGTTTTATTCCATAAACAAATCAAAAAGCTTAACATGTCATGAAATTATATAACTTTGTTTAATTTTATTTTGTTTTCTTAAACTTTTCAATCATCATACTGTGTTCCTCATAAAGTTGTGGATTTAGAAGACTACTTATAAACGCAAGTTATTATGTAAATAGTCCATTGATCTTTGTAAAGTAAATTTTCAAGCTAACTGAAATACCTCTTTGCTTTGTAACAAAATTAATAACACACACAATTTCAATTGTCGTCTTCCTATTCCACAGTTTTCGGTTTTCACTGTATCCTAACATGATTCCAATCTCAGTTGCAGACGATTTGGGAGAAAAGGTGGTAGAAAAGAATATCCTGCAAGCTAAATCCAATAAAAAAAATCCGAGCAAGTTAAAGCGGAACAAAAAGAAGAATAAGAAGCTTAAAGATAAACTGCAAATAGAAGTACAACTGAAAAATAATCTGGCAAAGCAGGAGAGAAAACGAATGTATAGGAAAAGGAAACGAGAAATCAAGAAACTAGAGTTGAAATGTCTAACTGATGATGTCACAAAGTTCAGAAATCAATGTGAAGAGGCTCTGAGGGAAAATAAACTCTTAGAGGAAAGAAATGAACAACTTTTACGCAACATTAATTGTTTGAAAACCTCTGCCGAAAATGTTTCTGGCGTCAGAGAAGAAATGCTTCACTCTGAGATAAGATGTCTAAAAGTCACAGCAAACCAATTGTGTGAGAAGTTGATGAAGTCGAAAAGTGAAGCAGCATATATTGAAACTCAGAATAAAGAACTTCAAAACAAAATTCACAATCTGAAGACAATTGGAAGACAATATAGAGAAAATTGGAGAGCAGCAGAGAGGGAAAACGCTTCCCTTTCAAATACAATTGGTCAACTTCAAATCAAAATTCGAAACCTGAAGTCGATTGGGAGACAATATAGGGATCATTTTAGAGCATCAGAGAGAGAAAACATTGCTCTCGTAGAGGCTAATAATCAACTTCATGAGACGACTCGAAATCTAAAGATGATTGGAAGATATTACAGAGAGAGATGTAGAACTTCTAACAAGAGAGATCCATCTATTCCAGACGAGACTGATGAGGATTGTTTAGGAATCGAATCTGCCTGTCAAGTGTCCCAGTAGGATGTACAATTCTATTATCAAACTCAACACCCCAGATAATGTATTCACATTTTCCAGGAATATAAGAGTTGCTACTACATTAGAAACTATATTATATCTTTAATGTTTGTTTATATCCAGAAATTGTGTATTTTTGATTAGATGGGTTCGGTTACCAGACATGAATGATGGTATTTCATTTATCTTTATATAATGTATATTGTCGAGTTTGTTGGAACAAAGCTGAAATAGCATTTTAAAGAAAATTTAAGCTCGTCTCAATACACTTTCTGGAATTTTAGAGAGAATAAAAACAATACTCATAACCAAGTGCCTCCAAATCTTGCTTCAAACTGTTGGCTGCAAAATCTGCTAAGATCTGTAGTGATTTCAATACTTCTCCATCTAGTAAATAGACAATTTACTTTTTATGCTGGTTAATAATTTGTATCGATATGTAGATTCTTTTATTTCTTTTTGATGCCTTGCTGCTAGCATACATGTTATAATGTATGCCTGATGTATTTTTTGAGTTTTGGTGCGAATTTTGGTCATGTAAGCATTTAATGCTCAGATGTCAACGTTTTCATCTTATTTCGTATATTTTTCAGATTTTTGTCTCATTTTTGTGAAAACTTTGCAGAGCGGGTCTTTATTTTACTTAACTGTTTTAAGGGACGTAAAGTAATTTAAAGCCCCTCTGTTGGGGGGAATCATTGGTTGGTAATGTTGGTCAAAAGTCAGTAAAGTTCTTCAGAAATGAGTACGTAAAATATTCACACTTGTGAGTTGGTTGATTGTCTGACCAAAACAAATAATAAGCTGGAGGAAGAGGAAAATGCTTTGCAATTAAGATATAACAAACAGCAGGATTATCTAGTAAACCTGGAACCTGATAATGACGACCTAAAAGATAATCTTGTAGATATTCAACTTGAGGTTATTGGTTAATGCTCTTAAGAAGGAGAGCTCAGATCTTTCTGATAAAGTTTCAGAGAGGAGCAAAATCAAAGAAGATTTAAAATCCATGACGAAATAAGATCAAAGATGATATAAATGAGTCAAGTCGGAGTAACATGATTGAAGAAATAACTTTAAACGGATCTTATAAATATCAATATCTGTGTTTATAGATAAACGGATCTTATAACTATCAATATATCTGTGTTTATATCCCATCCGAAAGGAACCATGGAAGGCTAAAGTGCATAAAAACCAGTACATTCTACAGTCGGGTGGGCACAAAACATCCCGGCTAATGGCGAGCTTCAGCAGCCTAAGGATGGTGGGTGTGATAGGCATCCTGACTGGTTTTGATTTAATCGAGACGGCATTGATGTGTTTGGCTCCAGTCAGAACTTGAGACACAATGTCAGACCTTAGATCTGGAGCTTCGAGGCCTGCAGTTAAGTGAATTAGACGTATACCAGAAAGATAGGAACTAATGGTGGTTGGGCTCAAGCCTCTGTTGTTCAACCATGATATGAAGATGAGTAGGTCACCCTGTGATAGGGGGTAAGAAACAATTGTGTTGCGACTGTCGAAGCACAGTTTTAGCATTCTGTTAGCTGTTTGGTAAGTTGGCCAGGTGTTCCTAGTAATTGAGTGGTTAGCCATGTGGCTGAGTGTAGAAGCAACAATAGAATCAGTGGTGAGATAAGCAAACGACTGTGATGTGAATAGGCCAGAGGGGCCATATTTCGACGCTCCTGGCACAGCTTCAGGACAGAAGGGAGTAACTAAATAATAAGGAATTAGAGCAGGAGTGTTTGAAGAGACAAGTCCTGGAAATGAAAATCCTCTTGGGACTATATTAAGTGTTGCTTTAGGATCAAAAAGAATGCCTCTAGGGACAAATAAAGGAAAAACAATGTGAAATATGCTAATGATATTAAGCTGTCCTCTCGGGACTATCAGGAATGTCCTCCTGGGATCAAGTAAATGCCTCTCGGGACATATAAAATCATTAAACTGTAGGTACACTAATAGTAAGTGTGTAGAACATTCTCTTGTGACAGTAATAGATATAATCTCTTGTGTGTATTTGTAGAAAACATCCTCTTGGGACATTAAGCTTTATATATATATTTATATATGCTAATGTTTAGTATGGAGAAAACTGTCCTATTTGGACATTAACAGATATATCCTATTGGACACAGTTGTAAAACATCCTCTTGGGACTGAGAGCCATATAAGGTCTTTTGGGTCAGGTTTGGGTCAGTTTAAGGACAATAGGAAAAAAGAGTTCTTTGCGTAAGAGCAAGAAAAGAGTAGCGTCAAACTGAAGACGACAATTAATATGTAAAGGAAACTTACATAGTTAAAGAAACCTAATAACAAGTAGAAGAAAAACTAATATAAGTTAAAGTAAAAAATATAAAACAAAAGATGGCGAAGAAATAAAATTAAATGTTATTGCAAACTAAATTTGTAAACGTTATGTCAACTATAAATACTGTTTGTGAACAAGCAGGCATAAGATTAGAGTAGCTTTGCTCAATAAAATTATGAGATTTAAAAAGAAAGAAGAAAAAAAAAAAAAAAAAAAAAAAAACCAACCTAGAGTAGGGCCTGCTGGCACTGGAGCAGTCACAGCTGGAGGCCAGAAAAGAGTCGGAGCCTTGGAAAGTAGAGAATCTTCATTTCCTGCAAGTTCAGCTAGCCTAGTGAGGTAGCTGTCATGGTTAGCCTTGGCATCTGGGAGGCTGGCAGAGCGAAGAAGCTCAGCTAGGGTAGAGCGCAGACTGTCACCAAGGGCGCAGCCAGGGGCGTCTTCCCAATCCGAACCAGGGAAAATGGCGCAGATGAGGGGAAATCCCCAGGTCTTCTCCACCGGTGAGAGTAAAGGAGGGGGAGCTAGAGGGATTTCGACTTCTTTGAGGCGAATTCCTGGAAACCTTGGGTCTAAGTAGAGAGGGTTGGTAGACAGCTCCGCTAAGTCGCACGGGAAGAGCAGTAGCACCACCTTTGCATAGGCATCAGAAGTTGGGTACACGTAGGCGCGGAGGCAAAAATCAGATACTCCGGCAAGAGAAAAATTCTCTTCTTCTAGAATTACTCCTGCTTGAGAGAAAAAGAACTGTAGGTCGATAGAGCTGACGTAATTGGAAACCATGGAATTATCTGGGAAAGTGAAGATAGATAGATCCTCGATTGTGAGGGATAACGTAGTAGCTGCCTGTGTAGGCCAGAGGCTAGTGACATTGATGTTTTTGTTGGTCCATAGCTTTCCTAGTAGGTGGAAAGTGGCGGCGTCCACTCTGCAGTTGTCGCCAGTAAGTGTGGCGGAGAGGCAGCCGAGAGCTCCTCCATTCCAGTTAGTCCTGGATAGTAGGTTTGTTACAAAATCGTCGGTAGTCTCGACCGAAAGGAGGCTAAGCTCGTCAGTAGATAGGTCACAAGGATCGGCAAAAGCTGCGCTTCTGATGAGCGTGCGTCGTGGCATCACTAAAAAAGGAAGGAATTAAACAGAGATAAAAAGGCGACAAAAAGAAGTTGAAGATGACTTGTTAAAGGTCTTATGGAAAAAACTAAATTAAATTTCATATCAAAGTGAGAGAATAAGAAACAAATGCTTAAGAAGCAATAGCGTGAATGCTGATAAAAATTATTTAAAGGAAAAGTTAATTGAAAATGAAACAATTAGGTCGTAAGTAACTAAGAATTTCGAGATAAAACTAAAACTAAAATCAAATCTACACAACAATTATTTAATTATTTAAAGGAAAAGTTAATTGATAAAGTAGGAAAATGAAACAATTAGGTCGTAAGTAACTAAGAATTTCGAGATAAAACTAAAACTAAAATCAAATCTACACAACAAGGAAAGAAAAATAAACGAATAATTAATAAGTAATAAAAAGAAACCTGATTAATTAAAAAGTTAATAAAACCTGAATAATTAAAAACAAAATTAATAAAACCAAAGAGAATATTAGTAATAAAATTATTAAAAACCTGATTAATTAAAAAAAAATTAATAAAACCAAAGAGAATATTAGTAATAAAATAAACGATTAATTAGGAGGTAATAAAAAGAAACTTGATTAATTAAGAAATTAATAAAAGCAAAAGAGAAAATTAGTCATAAGGTGAGATAAGGTAAGAAAATTAAATTAATTAAATAACAAGTTTTGTGATAGGAAATAAGGTGAGGACAAATAAAGATCAAGGTTTTCTAATAAACATAAGAGAATAATAATCAAGAGACACTCTTTGCAATAACTAATAGATTAAAAAATGATAAGATCATTGATCCATTAAAAAGTATGAAAGAAAAGAAAGATTAATTAAATAGTAATAGTGAAATTAAAGAAAAAGCAGGGAGGAACCCTTCTGGAGATAAATGAATAATTAAGCAATAAATAAAAAATTCCATAAAATATAGTGCAAAATAAATAGAATGATTAAGCAAAAAATAAAACTAAGAAAAGACCGTAACTGTCCTTATAGGGTGAAGCTAGTAGAGGGAGAAGGTGTGTTCACGCCAAGGTTAGAATAGAGACTGGTTCACTGACAGGTAGGGAGAGAGAGAGTGATAGAACCGGGCACGAGTAGAACATGTGGGTGGGCGAGGGCCGCGTACAGTAGAGCAGGGTACAAAGGAGGGAAAGCTGCAGGGGCGCTCCCGAATGTCGTCTTCCTCACTCAGTTTAACCAACTGCCATTCTGTCTAGTTGCCTAAACAATTAACGGATCTTATAACTATCAATATATCTGTGTTTATATATAAACGTATCTTATAACTATCAATATATCTGTGTTTATATATAAACGTATCTTATAACTATCAATATATCTGCGTATAAAGATAAACGGATCTTATAACTATCAATATATCTGCGTATAAAGATAAACGGATCTTAAAACTATCAATATATGTCTTTATAGATAAACGGATCATATAACTATCAATATGTCTGTGTTTATAGATAAACGGATCATATAACTATCAATATATCTGTGTTATAGATAAACAGATCTTATAACTATCAATATATCTGTGTTTATTAGATACTTTTTCAGAAAACGTTCATTAGCAAAATACAACAATTAAAAGATATAAGAAGCTACGAGATAATTCCACTGTGTCTTGTATAAACTTGTATAAACAGCTGTCTGTAGCGCATGGAGAGGATATTCAAAGTGTCCAGAGGATGGGTTCAGAAGAGAGAAATCAGTTATTAAAAGGTAAGATTTTAATCAGAATGCATAGTTTATCTTAATTTTACATTGTTTATTTTGCTCAATTTTAGCGTAATAAGGAACTTGGTTTATGCCATAACTCTGATTTTTAGTCCCTACATATTGTAATCTAATGCAGGGGCGGGGGATCATTCGCCCCCCCCTGAATTTGAAATTTTTTGTTCCTATTTTCAGAATAGCTTCTCAATAGCATGAGTAAAAGAGAGGGTAAGGTATTTGAGGTAAGTTCAGGTGAGTAGAATAAAGATAAGTAGTTCTAAACCGCAAACAGCAAGGCTGAGTCCAATCGCGAAGCAACCTTAAGACTCCTAGCGGAATATACCTGGTTAGCAATTAATGCCAAGTACTAGAGTGCGTTTAGATAGATCATGAAGGATCTTATCTCCAAGATGGTCATCTGGAATCGGTTTGTTTATCCAAGAGAGTAGAGCCGGAGGGGTCCAGGATTGGTTGATAGGAAGGGGTACTTCCTCTTGATTAGCAAGTTCCCAAAATTTGTCGAAACTGCACTTTGAAAGAGCGTCCGCCATAGAAGCTAATGGGGTTGAGCAGCGTGTTATCTTTGTGAGGTGCACTTCACAGCCTATGCCGGCTGCTACTGTGGCTATGGCTGAAACCAAAGTGGTGGACAGGGGGCAGGAGCGACTGTAGCCCTTTTTCCAGATGAGGACTGAGGCAGCATTGTCAACCCAAATGTTTATTGGACGGTTTTTTGTCCAATTATAGCCGCCAGAGACTACAAGCAAAGGGCCTACTAGTTCCAGAGCTGACATGGCCCTTCCGACTGCCTTCCCATCTGTTGAGGGCTTACATAGATTAATGGTTCTGGACCAAGGAATGTAGGCCCACCAGCCCTTTGTGACTGCACCGACTCCGAGGCCTTTGGTTTCCATTGAACCGCCGGCCGCATCTGTGTAGACGTTTATTGCCCAGGGAGGTAGGCGTTTGTCTGGGTCAATTAGTTTCCCACGTCCGGAGCATAGTCTGAGTAAGCTGAACCAGAAAAAGATTTGCCTTTTGAACTGAGGTGTGAGTTCAATTAAGGTGTTCCTATCAGTGGAGATATTGTTAAGGTTTAGGATGTGATGGATGTTGAACTTGCCATTGGGGATGAGTGGAAGTATGTGAATGATTTTCCCGACAATGCTCCATATATTTACTTGAGGAACGGATTCGGACGTCAGTAGGTCACGCAGATTGTGCAAAAGTCTTGACATTTTTTCGTAGTTTAGTGACCAGGTCCAAGTGGTCGTGTCATAAACGACTCCTAATACTAGACCTTTTGTACTGGAGCCAAAAGATTTTTCTGGATCGTCCCTAGGAGCCAATTTGACACCCAAGGTTTCAGCAACTTGGCCGAAAGTGGCGTCAAAAATTTCAAGAGAGTCGGTGTCAGCTGGTGCTGTAGCACAACAATCATCTAAGTGTTGGCAAATCCTGTTAGTTGGGAACTTTGCTTTGGTTGCAGCTATGTGTACCACAACTTTAGCTAGTCTATCAAAGATTCCGGCGCTGCTAGTGCAGCCGAAGATGAGGCACAGCTCTTTGAAGGCCATGCCAAGCCAGGAAAACCATTGCAGATCAGTATCTTGGGCTCTGACTGCTACATGTTTGTAGGCGTCGGCCCAATCAATCTTGCACATTTTGGCATTCTTCCCGGATAAGTGTAAAGCTCTTAGCCATTTGGTTGTGGATGACATTATAGTTGGGAAATCATCTTTGTTGATACCTTCATTAACACAGTTACCAATTGGAGAACTCAGATTAAGAATGATTCTAACTGCGCCGGTTGGTTTTAGCTTCGTCATCATACCGTTTATTTTAGCGCTGGCAGGAAGTGACTCAATAGGTATCGGTCCGTAGGCAAATTTTTTCGTAATCCAATCGGCGATGGCGTCTGTTACATGTTCTCCATATTCAAAAGCACTTGGAGCATTAGTAGAGACTGACGGTAGTCTTGACGCCCCACTGCAGCCTATGTCTGCGCCAAAGGTAAGGTCGTTGCAGATGGTGTCGAGGAGAGCGGTGTTGATGAAGTTGCACTCTAAGGCTAGTTTCTTTAGGAGAACTGGATTTACCAAAGACTTTGATGGCTGCACTAGGTTTACTGGAAAAGTATCCCAAAAGGCGGCGGGAGCCGTCTGCCTGTAAGAACCGAGTTTGGGTAGGTTGAATTTAGGTTTAAATATTTTGCAAGGAGGTAATGTAGAGATGGGTTCAGCAATGAGGCACGCATGTAGAAGTTTTAGGTTGTGATAGGTGTTCATGGTGTGTCGACTGATTTCTAAATAAAACAATATATATAAAAGTAATGTACAGAAAGAATAACTTTTATGCTTTATGCTTTATGAAATCTGTTATTCTGCTATCATTTATAGTTATTGTCGATAATATCAAGATTGTCAAAACTAAGATTTGGAAATTTCGCAGGAGTGTACACTAACTATATTGTAGTGTACACAGCTTAATACTGTTTGTCGTCTTTGTAATTAATGTCGTCTTCGACTGGGAACTTGTGTAATTGAGAATTAAGGGAAAAATGGGTTTAAAAACCCAATACTGGTGAAGCATTAGTGTTTAAAGCGTGCCCGTGTCATATTAGTTAGTATTCAATACTCAAATTTTCTGTTGGTTAAGTTGTGCTAGTCAATTGCAATACTAAATCTTTATACAGGGTGTCCCACGAAACAGGACAGTTGTTGAGCATATTATAAATGTTATACAATGTTCATGTATATTTTAATCTGTTAGTGGTTACTATAATGTTGTCTTAATAAAGTATGGAAATGTAATCCTAGTTATTATTACTTAACAATTTAATGAAAAAAAAAAATATTCTAAGATAATAGGTAACTGTCATGTTCCATGGGACACACTGTAGTAGATTTAGTATTTGCTCATAGGTATTTAGTGTTATATCCGTTGAATTACCCGGTGAGTCCTTAAATCAAAATTTTAATATTTTAATTTATAATATTAAGCTATGCGCGTGTACAGGGTTTCTATCAAGAATTAGGCAAATATGATGTATGTTTGTCGTCTTTGTTGTCAGATATTTTATGACCATACTGTTAATTTCCATGTAATCATAGAAATAAATAAAAACTTAAATAAATTCAATATTATAATCCCTTAATGACTATTTATCTTTGAGTATTATAAGCCTACATTTTTTGGTTCTCCATAAGTGACGCCTTCAATGTATCTCATAGAATATTATGATTGGTCAAATATTATAACCCGTAGTCGGAGGGAAGCAGGTCAAATGAAACAATAAGATAGGGTTATAAGCATGTATACTTAGATATTATCCGAAAGGTTTGAAATGTGTTTCTGAACATATCATTCAACAATATCCAGGAATTCAAATATTTTAAAGTTGTTTAACCAAAATTTTATAATAACCCTTCTAAATATTAAGCGTGTTTAACAAGATTTAGATTAAGATTTTTTTTTTTTTCCTCTCTGTGCGCTTGTATTTAAACATATTCTAAAAACTATCATAATTATGTAGGAAAGACAAGGATAAAATTCAGTTAAAAGAAATTAACAAGTATAAGGTTGATTTATTAAAAAGAAAAAGGTTAGAATTCAATACTTTCTAACTGTGCATGTGTTTAAACACATTCTAAAATCGCTCAAAATAAGACAAGGACTAGATTCAGTTAATTATGTTCAAGAATTTAATAAATCTAAAGTCGATTTATTAACAGGAATTAAACCAGTTAAAAATTTAATAAATGTAAAGTTGATTTATTAATAAGACTTAAAACAGTTAAAAAAGAATATCAACAAGAATTAAACCAATTAAATATGTAATAAATGTAAAGTTGATTTATTAATAAGATTTAGACCAGTGAAAAAAGATTATTAACAGGTGATAGGAAAAAATAGATTTATTGACGTGAATAAAAAACTGTATAGTTCACACTAAGGGTTCAGACAAGGTTTTCTGATTACTTGTGGTCTACTCTTGCATGTCTAGCCAAGCAGTAGCGGGAACCAATCCATTTGTTGCATTGATGTACAAATTCTTTATTCCTGATATCTTTGCATCCTGACGGGGCTCCACGATTTTTACAGGTGCCATTGTTATAATTAAAGCAGATAGGATTGCCACCGACTAACACTACTTTGTTCTGGGTTGGAGCTGAAGCAGCAGAGGTAGAGAAATTGGAACGTGAAGCCTGGTTGAATCTGGGTCTGGAAGAGTCGGAGTCTACTCTTGGAATTCTCCCAGCTGGTACAGCATTGGAGAAACCAGCAGAGGTTAGGACATTCTTCAAGCAATCTTCCTGCTCCTGGAAGGACATGATGACTTCCTTGCGACCTGCTCTGGCAGCGTTTTCTCTCAGGACAGTGTTGAAGAAGGTGGAGATGAGGTTGACTCTTTCAGTCAGGGTTGAGGCGACGCTGCAGTGGTTATATTTGTTAATGACTCTCTGTAGTATGAGCCCAGTTTGGTCCAGAGGCCAGAGGTGCATGAGGATGGTACTGTAGTTAAGCAAAGCATCAGATACCTGTGAGAGGCTGGTAGGGGATTCCCAACAATAATCCAGTGATGAATAAATTCCAGAGTCATCCCTCTTCTCCACTTTTTGTATTGGTTTCGAACCCACATTAATATTACCCGTGTGGAACATTTTAAAGGTTAAGCACTTGGTCCTATCATGCATTGCTTGAATAGTTTTTGTGGTAACCTTGTTGTGCGAACCGCTGAACTGTAGAGAGAGATTCTTGAACTGATGAGAACGAACACGGGGCATTTTCTTAAACCAGGAGCTTATGTTTCCCAGGGGGTAGCGCTCAAACCTGGCTGGGTGAAGTTTTTTGAAGCCGTCGTCCTTCGCGGCTTTATATTTGGTAGACTTCGGTTTCTTGTCCCTGGTGAATGTCGATGAGAGATCAGATTCCACCTTGAGGTTGTCTTGGTCAAACTTGGCAATGCTGAGTAGGTGTTCAAGGGCCATGGAGTTAAATTTAGTTTTGCTTTGCAGTCCAAGAGGTCTCTTTTCTACCGGCCAGACTGAGTGTAGAAGGTTCCAGTTTGAACCTTCGTTATCATCCGAGTCAGAGCTAGAGCTGGAGCTAGAAGAGGAACTGGAAGAGCCGCTAGAAGAAGAACGGGATGTGGACCTTTGCCTCCTCTTAGATTTCTTCGATTTCTTTGATTTCTTTGATTTGACAGACTTCCTAGTTAAAGAAACAATATTAAAATTTGAATAATTGCCAAATTCAACACCAAAATTAATTTGATAAACTTTAAACAGCAAAATTGAATAATTGTAAAATTTAACACCAAATTTAATTTGATAAAAACTTTAAACAGTAAATTTTTAATATAAGTATAGGATGATGATCCTGTTGAACTGTATTTAATAGTTAAGAAAAGTTATGTGAAATTCAACATAGGTAAATAAGTTATCAATAGACCCGTTTTAAAATAATAGACCAAAAACAAAATGTAAAAGTTGATAGTGAAAGTAAATGTGCAAGTTTATGCTTGGTCGTGGGGTAAATAATCTCAAAACTGGTTAAATTTTGTGAACAATAAATAAAGATAGACGATTTCCAAGGACTAGATAAGCACCTCTTTTTGGTAGGTTCAGAGTTAATGTTAGCAGAGCCGGCAAGAAGGGTTTGTGAGTTGGCATCATGGCTGGTACCGGAGCTGGAACCTAGGAGTAAAGAGTTCGGAACGGGGCAAGAGTTAGAAACTAGAGTAGTGGAGTTAGGGTTGGCATTGGAACTAGAAGCTAGAGGAACCCTTGTGTCGGTATCAGTTGGAGTAGGTGCTGTAGGCCTGGAAGGGTTCAAGGGGCGCACTAGTCTGCCTAAAAATTGGCAAAAATTATTATCTTCTAGATGGAAAATAGGGCTTGAATGTCTGCCTAAAAATTGGCAAAATTATTATCTTCTAGATGGAAAATAGGACACATTGTAAAATGTACAATGTACAATGTACATAGTGTCACAATAAACACTGGATTTCTCATTTTAATCCTGTAATACCCGTATTTATTTTTACAAAAATTAGATGATGAGATTAAGAATGAACTTGAGCGTTGTCAGACTGAATTACGCGCGGTATCTGCTCACAACCAGACTCAGCTCAAGCGCCTTGTTAAGCTGGCGAGGGAGGAAATGGCCCGCCAGGAAATACGGAATAAGTAAGAATTAGAATCTAACAAATCTATGAAGACCTGTGGAATTTGCATGATTTTTTCCTTCTTGTATACCTTACAGATGCGGCATACAAGACTAACTTAAGTGTGGATTTTACAGCAAAGAAAAAAGTGAAAACGTCCAATGGTATCCATTGTTTAAAGGGGATATTTTTAGTCATGTTACTCGTAGAGTCGCTAAAAATACAAAAATAATCTTCTTTTATCAATTAAAATTAATTTTATTAAAATATTAAGATTGACTGAGGCGGATGCTGAAGTAAAGGAGGCGTATAATCGTATATCCGCCGCCAGGGTCAAGAAGAGGTCCCCCACAAAGAAGGAGAAGGACATGGCCTGGAAGGCGATTAAGGACAGAGAGGCGATCATCAAACAGTTGGAAACTGTTTAATACTCGTGTTCCTTTCATATTCTTCTATTTAATCTTTCTTTTTATATATATATATATATATATATATTTGTTGTCTGTATGTTGGTTTGTTGTTCTAAAAAAGGCTGATCAACATAGCGTTCCTAAGGGGGAGTTTAGACCGGCCAGTATTTTAAATAATTTAAAATTTCAAGCAAATAAAGAAGTGGAGCCATTTTCTTCATTAGTTTTGAAATGTAAATCTAATAATAAAATACATATAAATGTTGTTTTTGTTATTTTAATAAAATTAGTGTTTACGCCTACTTAAAATATAGCATTTTCAGATTTTACAGAAAATGAGTGGTTCATTTCTCAATTACCTAATTGAATTGTAAGATATCGTGTGTTGTCGTCTTCAAACCCTGAAATTGCGGATTACCCTACAAGATGTCTGGCGGATTTACAGCTAATGGTCTCAAGAAAAAGCTGACGGAATTAAATGATACGGCGCCCAGTATTCAACAACTGTCACTTTGGATAGGGATATTTTTAAAAAACTGTTTTCAGCTTTGTATTATTATCTCAAGTGATTATTTCTTTATTTTCATTAAAAAATCAGTTTTAAAAATATTTCTCTAGTTCATCACAAGAAACATTATAAGACAATAGCTGAGACCTGGTTTAAGGTTGGAAATTTAATAACTCTTACCCCTGCCCTTCAAATTGGTTTAGTTTTTTCTTTTTAAACCATTTTCAAGGTCAGATAGATCATAAAATTGAAAGACAATTTTTTTTTTAAACAAAAACCTTATTTTTTTTACAAAATTCCCGTATGATATTGAACAGATTTTAGGCAATGGTCTATAACCATGATGGACTTCTTGGCATTCCACATTTTGGATTGTTAACGATCAATCATAATATATATGCGATTCAAAAGTATACTTTTAACTTATTTACTATGGACTGTATGTAGTCCTTTGTTGAATTCTTAGAAGATTTTAAAAGATTGTATTTAACTTAATACAAGAATCCGCTTTCGTTGCTTTTAGTTATATAGGTTTCTGTAGTTTTAAAGGATTTAAAGATAATATTAAATTCAAGAGAAAACTTAAAACAATTGAATTTTTTTAAAATTCATCTCTTCATGTACTACTTTATGTATGAAAAATGGCAGCTTTTCATTTGAAGATGGTGATTCGCAGACTTTAACTTGTTTGGGCAACTAAACTTTATCTTTAAACGTTAACCCACTCAATTTAGAATTTTTAAACCAACTTAGAACATTTATCTGGTTCTACTAAGTTTCCCCGTCAAAATTTGAGGCAAGTCGTCCTAAGGTTACAATCCTTACATACAAACAAGTAGACACACAGATTACCGACTTATTTATATAATATATAAATATATATATGATGTAATATAATATTTTTATAACATAGAAGACGTAATCTTTCTGAACAAGAACAATTTACATACTTAGGAACTGCTAAGAACGGAGCCTGCCAAAAAACTTTCCTTTATGTACCTGGCTAACGATGTTGTACAAAACGTGAGAAAAACAAAACCGGAGGTATGATTGTCACAACAAATGTTTTTTTTAATACATTGCAAATTTATAAAGTTGAAAACCTCTTGAAATCCCCCCCCACGCCCGTATTTAAAGAATGTTTTAGCTTTTAAGGACTGTTTTTGCAGTAAATTTGGGAGAATGATTTCATTAGGGAAAAAAGGGTGTAAAGAAAAAATTCCCTTTTTTTAAATCTTCTAAAATCGTGTATAATTCATAAAAACTACCTCTTTTCTAACTTTTTAATAAAATAAACAATGAATTTCAAACTTTCAAAATTTCTTTTTTAGTTTGTCATTGAGTTCGGGGAGAAGATGATTGATGTTTTCAATCATTTGGCCTGTGAGCAGCTTAGTGAGAAAACAGCTAGCAGCTTACACAGGTAAGCTTCACAATAAGCAGCAGAATTAGAAAATATAATCCAGAACCTTAGCTGTGTCAACCTAAATGGAGTATGGATGTATTTCAAGTAATCCATCATCTATAGTTGGGCACATCAAATTCACAGCATTACCCTTGAAAGCTTAGTATTATCAAGAATGAATAAGAAATCCATGTTTTAAACTTCTTATTGTTATTAGGCTATTCATACTAAGTAAGGTTTTCATCTAAATAAAGAATGAAGTAACCCGTAAAAGCTTTGAACATGATTCAATTCCTAGCTTAAGTACTGTTAACAATACCTCTCAATTATGGTTATTGTTCAAACTGTACATGTTATTTCATCCTTCAGTACATATGTTTTTATCTTAATCAAAATATATAGGACCTTGCAGCTATGATATTTTATTATATGAATCTTAATTTATCTGAACTTTTTATTAATTCCCAGGTTGATACTAATCTGGGAAGAACGCCAGATATTCAATCGTAAGCTAATAGCAGTAATAACATCCATCTGGAAGAACAGAGGCCGAAGCAGAGAACGTTCCTCTTACACTCCCCCTATACCTCAGCAACTGTCCTATGGAAGCCCTCAAGCCCAGTCCTACGCCAGTCCATCACTCAAACGTCCAATAACCCCCGACACACCCCCTGTCCCACCCGCAAAAAGGGATAATAATGGTGAGACTGTATATATTTCAGATTTGAATATATTTTTTAATTGTTTTAACCCCGGCTTGAAGGCCCACTAGAGCTGTAATAAGAAGGAATTTTTTGTTTGAAGTTGCTCAATATTATGTAATTGCTAATTACTCTTCATTAACTAGCAGCTTAATTCAATTTCAAGAACAATTTACACTTGTACTTTTAGATGCTCAGAGCAGTATGTTTATGGAGTCTGCTGGAGCTGAAGAAGGGATTGAGGATGCATTTTCAGAGAATGAAGTAACAGAGAAGAATGGTGACATGGAGGAAGAGTTGGATGTATCCATTGGAGATCCCCCAGATTCAGAGGAGTTGATTCATGCCATACAGGAGTTAGATGATGCAGCTAGTGGAGATGCTGATATCAGGTGAGAAATTTATTGTATCTTTGGGTCTAGCTAAGCACAGTTCATTCTTTCCCGCAATACATTGTTCTATAAAAAAGTTAGTAACGTATTTAACTTGGTTTGAAATGCTCTTGATCCAGTATTGAAAGTTATGCAAAGTAAAAATAAGTTTAAGTATCGTGTAAATATGAAAATCTCGAGTGTAATACGTTTTTTGTTATGTATGTTCAAGCCACTATATATTGTTGTTGTTCGATGGAGCCTAAAGGAACTTAGAAATAATTATGTCTCTATGATTTCTTAATGTAAATTACTTGGATTGCATGTTTGTCAACCACTTCAATTAACCTTTCCTTCTATACCAACTACCATTTCTGACCTTTTTCAATATACTATTGATATCTTAAGTATCACAGGAGAGCTATCTGAAAACAGCTGTAAGCTATTAAAGCTCTCCTGCTGCAATTGTAATACATATGGTTGATAATGTTTTGCTAATAACTGTTATAATTTATTATTACTGCAAAAATATTTGATTTGATTTGATTTTGATTTGAACTTTCAACCGTAGATTAATATTTGAAGGAATGAGATTGCTCTGCTACCCGATGATGTTTCTGAATCCTGGAAAGTTTCTGAAATTGCATCCTTAGAGGATGCAGAAGGATTATTCACAAGAGTAAAATCAGCTATAACTCTTCTGGAGGTGAAAGTGCATTTGTTTTTTCTTTACTATTTATTATATCATACCCCCCAGGATGGTTAATATGCAGTTTCGAGAGCTGATCAGGCAATTTGTAGTATTTCAATATCAGCTCTTGAGTTTCTGTATTTATTCCCGTTTTGAACTTTTAGAAAACGAATAACAATCGTTTTTGAAAACGATCGTTTTTAAAAAAACGATTAGCGATTGTCACGGTTGTTTTTAAAAAACGATCGCTTTTGAGGTGTCCAGGACAAAAGTTTTTTAGAAGTTGTTAAAAAATTAAAAAATAACGATTTTATAATAAAAAGTTCCTCACGGCCGAAAATATACTTAAAATTATTTTCTTTAAAGTCAGGGTTAAAAGGATAATCTTAGATCATTTCTGGGCCGAACAATGTATATTTTTTTTGAAGCTAGGGGCGGGGTGGGGGTCATAAAATCCTTAAAATGTACGATAGCGTGTAATTGCTGAGAACCTGGTTTATCTTTAAAAAGGGGGGTGTACAATTTGTAGATTTTTTAAAAATAATTAATTTTCATAATCAATATTTCAATAATATTAAANTTAGCAAACAATATGCATTCCTGATTTAAAATGCGTTCCTGACTAAGAATGCGTTCTTTATAATAAGAATGTATTTTTTTTAAATCATTGCTTAGTATCCATTTAATTTTGATGCGGATCCTGGATCCGTATTGGAAACAAATGGATTCGGTTCCAGATCTTGGTCATTTCTTTTAGATTTACTGAATTTTTCAAACCAAAAAAAAATAAAAATTTTTGTTTAATTTTTTTCGTTTTTTTATCCTAAAACTTGATGAACCATTCAGAAATGAGGAAATTTTTATGATCTCCCTTTTTTTGGGTTTTAGGAGTAAAAAAGTTTTTTGAAGTTTTTGGATGATATTTTACCCCTTGGATCCGAATCCAGGAAGCCAAAACCTTGCGGATCCAACGGATCCGGATCCTAAGCACTGTTTTAAACGTTTTTTAAGCTAATATCCGTTCCGTTCTAAAAATTTTAGGAACGCGTTCTTTGCGTTCCGTTCTTTTTTCGGAACTATGGGATAGTTCTTTATAGTTCAGTTCGTTCTAGTTAAAGAAACCTCATAAATATGATATGATATAAATCTTTTGAGGATAAAAATATAATAATGGAATTCTTAAACTTGATGAAATAATCTTGATGTATTCTTTGACGAAGGATTATTTCATCTTGTTAAAGAATTTCCATTATTACATTTTTTTCCACATAAGATTATCATATACATTTGGACTTAACACTAGTAATAAAATAATCCTGGTCCTAAATATAGACTTTTTTGGTATTTAACCTAGTTAGATAATCAGCCTAGTCATATTTAGACTAGATAACCTAGTAAGATAATCAACTTTGTCCTGTTCAGGACTATAACCTAGTGAGATAATCAACTTAGTCCTGTTCAGGACTATAACCTAGTTAGATAATTAACCTTGTCCTGTTCAGAACTATAACCTAGTTAGATAATTAACCTTGTCCTGTTCAGGACTATAACCTAGTTAGATAATCAACCTTGTCCTGTTCAGAACTATAACCTAGTTAGATAATCAACCTTGTCCCGTTCAGGACTATAACCTAGTAAGATAATCAACCTAGTCCTGTTCAGGACTGTAACCTAGTAAGATAATCAACCTTGTCCTGTTCAGGACTATAACCTAGTAAGATAATCAACCTTGTCCTGTTCAGGACTATAATCTGAGACTAGAGAATGAGTTGAGGGAAAGGAGAAGGGTCAGCAGAATGATTTACGAATTCCTGGTAGCTCAGAAAGTTCAGATTTCAGGTAATAACATGGACAAGGGAAAGTTTGATTCACAATGTTTTCAACTATTTGAAATATCTATTTAGAGATTAAAGAAAAATTATTAAATGTAAATGTATTTTTTCAAAACTTGGTTGGTCATGTAATTTTTGATGCATGTCGCCAGGATTATATTAAGATATTTAGATATTTTCAAACCCCTCTTGTTAGAAATTACCTAGTTGAATATCTGAGAATTTAGTAAAAAGAATCTATTAAAAGCCAAGTTATTTCAACCCAAATCTAATTGGCTTATGGCTGGTTTGATGGTTTAAGCACCGGTTTTTGTTACCATCTCATACCATACTTATGAAATCCTTTTAAGCGCAACATTTGTTGGAATTTGAGTTCATATAAGAAAAGCTTTTTAAATCATGATAAAAAGTTACTTTTATTTTGTTTTAATGCTTCTTTAATTTAACTAATGGATTGACTAAAATTCCAGCCTTCCAGAAATAGTTTTTATAAGCTTAAATCCTCTGTTTGTTTGCTATGGTTGTCTCATGTTACTAGGAGACAGTACTCTCCTCCTGGTCCTTATAATCTACTCCGGCTTGGGATCATGATGAGTTAGAGTCAACTCTTGAACATGGAAACAACCATTCTCAAAGTTCTTTTCATTATGATCTACATCCCTCTGGTTATCTTTAACCCTGGCATTCCTAGTTACTATACTTTCACTATAATAAGCCTCGCTTATATGCTGACATTGTCAACTAACATCCTGATCTTGCTGTTCTTCTACACTAGACCTGCTGCACAGAAAACCTTACTGAACAGACTGCTCTCACTCCTCTTCTTGGCTGGAGTTGTTGGATCTACTAGATGCTATATCATGTGCTTTATGGGTACTTGGTTCCACCACTCACTCAACGACTTCATCCGTGATCACCAAACCTTCTCTTCAATTGTAATGCCATTGCATAGCTATTCAGTACTTGTTGCAGGGAGCTTTCTTCTATTGTGCGCTAGTCGGTTTCTTTTGTTTGCCCAGCCAGGGTGGTATCACAGGATAAATCCAAACAAAGGTGTATCTTTGGCTGGAGGAATCATACTTTTTATCTGTGTTCTTGACTCCCTCTATAGTTGGGGAACATGTAGAAACTACGCGGACCACACTAATATTAGACAGATAAAGCTTTTGAAAGGAGAACTGGGGCTTCCACAGAACAATACCTGCAATATTTCAACACCAACGCAAGATGACAAGAATGAATGCAATTTTTTCCCAACCATCCTTATTCTCGCAGTGTGTGGACTCTGTTTTGAATTGGCAAAAGTTTGTGTTTTAACCTGGAAAAAAATTGCCAAGGAACGGAAAAAAGCTAAAGTTCAACCAAAAATATTTCAGCTCAAACTTGGAGCAGATGCAGTGCGATGTAAATCTACAAGAGAAATTAAACGCGTTGAAAGTTACCCAAAAATCTCACCAGCACTTAAAAATCGAGCTGGAAGAAGACATTCCACCATTGGACTTACACCACTCCAACAGCTGTCTATTCAATCCAACAAGCAAGCTAACTCCCAACTTCAAAAGGACAACCATCTAGTACTAAACAAAATTCAAACCTTCAAAATAGTTAAGAAAAGCTTCAGGAGCAACTGTTATAGATCTTCTTCAATTCTAACATTGTTTGCGTTAGTTTGTCTAGTTTCTAACGTTGTCAATACATTCACAAATAACACGGTTTGTTGGGTCTACTCAGACTCAATGATCACTGGAAACCGTGTAGTTCGTATGTTTGTCTACTTCTGTTTTTCTGTTTGCATTTTCTTGTTTGATAAAGAGTTGTTCACATTTTTCCTTGATAAGTTCCATTCCAACACAATAGTCGGTTAATGATTTCATCTCAATCCCAATGCTTTGAAATTTTAAAATATAACAACAATTTATTGGTTATAGAGATCGGGCTAAAAAAAACCCCGAATGTGGGCAAGACAGTAAAATATTTTTAAAAAAAAACATATTTAGCAATGAATATAATTTTTATTACTATTATTATTATAAATTGTATTGTTCTTAAATGTTTACCAAATATTGTTATGAATATTACTGTTTAGAAAAATATATTTTGACTTTTGATCAATTTTTGCATTAAAAAAATTCTTTTACTTAATGGAGTAAACGTTTTTTATAATTATCAGTGACTCATTTACTTAGCCTTGATCAGTTCAAAATTGGATGTCTGGAGGGTAAATTTTGAGTAGATATAACATTAAGGTAGAATGATGAATAATTTTGGAGGCTGTACTCCTAGCCTCTTAGATTTGGAAGTAAATAAAACTACTTTTGAGAGATAGTCGACTCGCTAGCGGTCTGGGTCTCTAAGATGGAGAGGTTTTCTTAGTGCCTATGATTCAAATTCCCTGGAACAATTTATCTTCCAGTCTTCTGAATTTAGATTCGTCAGAATACGCTTACACATCCACAATCAAAATATAAATATGTTCTGAAAAGACTAATTTAAATGTTGACTATTAAATTTGATGAACTTGTTTGAAAAGAAACAGATAACCAAAGTAGAATTTTAAACCAAATAAAATCAAAATATTATTTTCAATTCGTATCAAAATTTCAAAAAGGCAAGGGGGACGTCCTCCGTTCAAAATCTAACTCATCCTTCAAATGAGGAAAAAGCAAAATAGAAAATGTTGACTTTAAATGGACTATTAACATTATTATTAAAAGAGTGGGGTGTCTGATTCACAACGGTACCAATTAAACCCCTGTCTATCTGGAAGATTTCGGCCGTAAAAAAGTGTTGAATTTTGTTAATTTATTTTATGGTCTCTGCAGCAAAATACGCAAACCACTTTAATAGAGTTGAACAACAATTAATTTTTTTTGGATAGGAAATTAAATATTTCATCATTGATTAGACAAAGGGGATCGTTGCCACTCTATAAATGGAAGGTCCCTTGGAATTACGTCTAAAGTCCATATGATTTGTATAGCAATTAAAAACTTCTTAGATTTGGAAATACAAAAAAAAATACTTTTTACTTCAGGATTGGAGGATCGGATAGAGATATACAAAGATAAACTGGATCAGGTACGTACAACAGTACACTGCACAGTACTGAGTACACTGTACACTGCGCTGTACACTATACACTGTACAGGCATTTTTGAGATTACAGATTTAAAAATTAAAACATTACACGAGGATGGACAAAACGAATATAAAAATAACCTAATCCAAAAAATTTTATTTTAATAAAATATTTTTATTTTTTGATGATGTAAACATTTTCCATTAAAAGAAGTAAATAAAAAGCTCAAAAATAAAATGTAAATTGTACACATTACACATTCACAATGATTTGTTAGTTATTAAAATCTTTTACAGGAATTTCCAACCATTTATTAATTGTTTTGTCAATCAAGATCAATTTATAGTCTTTAAATACTGCATAACCTGAAAACTGTTGAATAATTGTCAGCTTTTTTCTTTCTTCCGGTGATGAATTAGCGACTGTATTTGAAAAAAAAAATCAATAAGTCACAGATTACAAATTTTATTTTTTAGATGAATAAACTTTAAAGAAAAAGATTCTATCTTTACTCTTTAGTGTAAATGTATATTTTTTCTAAAAATCCAAAATAGTTTCAGGGGAATTATTTTTGAAGATTTGGAAAAAATTGGTTTCCCTATTTTATGTTTTTCATTTTTTATTTTCATTTTCCTCCCTAAAAATCGTTTAGATTTTTCCATTCAGCTTAGCGCTATCTAACGTTTCTTCTATAGTTTATCTATATAATAAAACATGACATTCGTATAAATATATACAGGGTGAGTAAAAAAAAAGTGTGATTTGCGGCGCCTTTTTCTGTGCAACTCTCCTGTATGGTGTTTTTTCAATATTTTTTGAAAATTTGTATTTTTTTTTGGTACTCCAATGGTCCAAAAAAAATCCGCGAATCTTTTTTTTCTCTCAAAATCAAAAGTTCAGAAAAGCAAAAGTGTGCATTCATATTATTTCTCTCTAAATCTAAAATTTTATTAAAATTGAATCACAGAATCACAGAAAATTGGCAAAATTGTAATAAGAAAATTCGCAATTTTCAGTTCTGGGCTAATTTTTTAGGAAAAGTGGTTTAAGTTCTCTAGTTCCTTTCTTCTTAGTATATTCTAAAGTATTAAATATTCGCTGTTCAATTGAAACCGTAAGAATCATTGAAAAACAATTTTTCCGTAAAAGTGATTCCAGAACTGAAAATTGCGAATTTTCTAATTACAATTTTGCGAATTTTCAGAGATTCTGTGATTCAATCTTTTTAAAATTTTAGATTTCGATAGAAACAATTTATTTACACATTTTTGTTTTTCTGAACTTGTGATTTTGAAAGAAAAAAAGGTTCGCGGATTTTTTTTTTTGGACCATTGAGGTACCAAAAAAAACACAAATTTTTAAAAATATTAAAAAACACCATACAGAAGGGTTGCAAAAAAAGTTACACTTTTGCACCAGGCGCCGCAAATCACACTTTTTTTTGACTCACCCTGTATATATGTTGCGTATAGCCGGCCAAACATCTGGACCGATTGGGCTGACATTTTTTGTGGACAGTCATTCGAAATTTATTTTTCAAATTTTTTTTACGGGCATTGCCGGGCCTCCAGCTAGTTTTTCTTTTAATAATTTATTATTATCAGAAAACATGAAGGGATTATAAAGGCCTAGAAAAACGACAATATATTTCACGTTATTGAGCAGATAAATATTTTAAAGGTACAGTTAGGAAAAGGTCATTGTCTCTTAGCATAGAGGGTCACTTGTAATTTCTCTTTCAGTCCCTTTAATTTTAGATTCGGAGTTTGGAGGAGGAGGTTCGGAGTCATCTCTCTAGTTTACCAGACATACCCTCCACAGACAAACCAAACCCATTCAAATAATGTGCTGTATGCTGCAGGACAGATTTTTAAATAAATTCAGACATTTTTTAAATGAAAAGAGATTTAAGTTTTTTAACTTCTTCTTTTTTACCAAATTTTTTTTTTACATCCACTCACAGTCAAGAGTATAAAATTATATTGTGAAAAAGGGGGAGATGACTTAGAAAAAATTTTGGAATATCTCTTTTAAAAAATGCTAAAATCTTGTTTTTGTATTTCTGAAAGGGATACAATTTGAACTGAAGGAAGAAAATTTATGAAACATATAATTTCGGGATTTATCCTTTGTCCAGTAAATGATAAAAAAGTTTCTTTTTCTGAAACAGATATGTTTCAGTGTCCACTATCAACAGAAGTAATAATAAAAATACAATTTTTTTTCAGAATTAAAATGACAGCAGAGATAACTGGTGGCAAAGGGGATACTGATAATAATACTGAAAATCAAATAAATGATAAAAATGACAATACTTGTAAAAAGCGGGAAAGAAAGATGGATTTCTACAAAGATGTTCTAGGATCTCCAAAGTAAGAAATTATTTAAAGATCGCGCAGAAAAATATATATATTTAATTTATTAAACAGGGTTTACCCTCAACGGAAAGAATTAAAGAGACGACTGTAAGGAATTTACTGTCTGTATTTGCAACTATATTTCTTTCTTTGTCAAATCATTAGAGGAGACATATTAGACTATCCTTACTAATCCGAAATCCTAAAAATACTTTTAGGATTTATATAGGTCTACGTATTTTAATAGGTTTATCATATATTTTTAGGTATGCTCAACTTTTTGGTTAATAACTTGCGTTTATTAACATATTTTTAAGAATAATTGCAAATACTTTTACCAAGTGATTTTAAAAAAGTTTTTAGGTTTTTATTTTACGTACTTTTACTTATTTTTTCGGGTTTTCTTAACTTTTTAATGATTGAGTTAATCATTATGAACTAGTTTATCTCAATGTGAACGATTTCAATTTTATCTCAACATGAATGAGTTTAACTCAATATGAATAATTTTAACTCATGAACGATTTTAAGTCACTTGCGGGTATATTTCGTTATGAACATAGTTTAACTCATTATAAACGAGTTTAACTCACTATTAACGAGTTTGACTCATAATGAACGGGTTTAACTATCATGGTGTGAACGAGCTTAAATCGATATGAACTGGTTCAACTCATTATGAACGAGTTTATATCATTATGAAGGGGTTTAACTCTTTGTGAACTAGTTAAACTCTATAGTTACCTCATCGATAAGCTGACCTTCTAAGTGTTAATATTGTTTTAATTTCCAGATATGTGGTGGCACCTATGGTTGATGCAAGTGAACTAGCCTGGAGAGAGTTAGGTAGGACTCTTATCAAGTATCCAAGACTAAGGGATTGGTTAAACAACCAGTAAAACGTTTTCTGCATTTTAAAGCGAATGTTTTTTAAATGTACGATGCACGATGTTTAAAAAACGCCCTTTTCCCAACTTGTTTAATTATATCACCTCAGGTATAAATATTTTTCAAAATTTGTTGGTTTTAAAGATTAGGATGTCTAGTCATTGTCCAATTTTAATTGTATCATGTTCTGTCAAATTATTAATTTATTTTTTTACTAGGCCGACGATACGGAGCTGATCTATGCTATTCTCCAATGTTCCATTCAAAGGCACAGACATTCACGATTTTTCATCATAACTATTTTCCTCCTGTAGACAAAGCTTCCCCCCCCCCCAAAAAAAAAAATATGTAGGAAAAAGTACATCTCCCAATATTTCTTTAAGAATATTTTTTTATTTATATTTTTAATGTTTATTAGGAGCATACGTTTGTATTAATGGTTAGAGGAGGGGAATAATTCCCCCATATTGCCTGATAATGACTTGTGTCTGAATGTGTGCCTATGTAGGTGTTTGTTCAAGATGCCAGGTACAGAAGAGATTCTTTACAGGAAATCCTCTTTTCTATAATTCATATTTTTTTCCTCGCGAAGATTACAAAAAGTTCAAGATTTTAAAAAGTTGTTAAGCCCCACACATTTTATTTGAACCCCTTTTTAATATTGCAGATAAAACATTTACAACGTTTAAGTTAAATCCAAGCAACGAATGTGTGCCCCCCCCCCCCCTCTACTGATAAGTGTGCAACCTGAGCGCTGTGACTAGGGCTGACGTTAGGGTCGTATTATGCAAAGTGTTAAATGAGAATAAAAGTAATTATTTATCTTTATGTGTCATTGTCGAGGTTGCGCATTGCACAATGCTCAAATCGAATTTTAGTCTGTAATAGTAAATTTTAGATAATAAACTTGTTTTCAATTCCTTTCCAGAATTATTCGCCATTTTGTTTAAAGAGAAGGTTCTAGACATGTGCCGGAGACCGACCTCTGATCATTCAGTTCTGTGCAAACGATCCTCAGCTTTTCTTAGAGGCCGCTAAACTAACTGTGGAGGCCATTGAATGCGAGGTAAAAAAAACTATAACACGAATAATGTATTTTAATATAATGAGATTACCCACACAGGCGTAGATTAAGTTTGAAGTTGCAGGAGACCAAGAATGTAAGAAAAAGGACTGAATAAACTCACTCTCTTGTGGAGCCTATAATGTCTCGTCTATATTACTTAATCAAATTTAATGAAAATTATGGATTATACATAGATAAAAATACCCATAAACAATTAAAGAACAAAATTGATCTTTTTATTTTTATTTTAAAGGGACCGTTCTTTTATTTGGGTAATTTGAGGGTAAACTAAATAGCCTATTAGCTATTCATTGGTATTAGTCTTACTTTTCAAAGACAACTGTGGCCGGAGAAAAATTCGATTTTAAATTGTAAATATCTTTAAATTCTTTTCAAAGTTATTTTAAAATGGTCTATTTTCAAAATATAATTTAGTTTAAACATTTCTTGGCTTGAAACGTTTTCCCTACTTTCCCAGGAATCCCCAAGTTAGAATCTAGGAACCGGTTTGACGGAGAGACATGGTCGTCTTTGTTAAATCATGTTTAAACACGGAAAACGTTAATTTTTAAAATCAAAAGTATTCATATATATATTTTCAAATTTTAAAATGGAAACTATTCATATATTTATATAATGGATGACACAGAATGTCATTGAAATATGACAATTTTAGATTTTATTGGGCTGTTGTTACTGAAAAAAAAACATTTAAATAGTGTTTTATGCAAAGGTATTTTACCTTTGCGCTGGAATTTTAAACGATAAATCGGCTATTTCTTTGGTATGGATGTCTTTGAAAAGTAAGACTAATAATACCAATGAATAGCTACAAAGCTATTTAGTTTACCATGAAAAAAAGTGAACGGCTTGTTTAATTCTTCTTTTTTTTAGGCGATAGATATAAACTTGGGGTGTCCTCAGGTATCCAATTTTTTTTTTTGATTATTGATTAATAAATTCTTTTTTACTTCTTATTAATTTTTTCATCACTAATGTGGCATTTAATTTTCCTGTCTTAAATCTGAAACTTTAACCTTATTTTTTTCTACTTCTTTTTTGTTAATTTGCTTTTCATTTACAAAATTCTAATTATCTGTGACCGTTAATTATTTAATTTTATTTTTTACTTCTCACTTATAATTTGGTCATTTTTGTTCCGCTTTTCTATAACTAAATTTTCTTAATTCTAAAAACACTTTCGGTTTTGTAGATAATAGCCAAGCGAGGCCATTTTGGGTCATACCTTCAAGACGACTGGGAGCTAATTCACAAGTAAGTTTTTAATGATTTACGGGACTAGATATATTGATCACATTCTAACCAATTTATGATAAAAGAAATCATCTCTTTAGCAGGTAGGCTATATGTAACATACAATTTTCACACACACTATTGATCACTGTTTGTATTTTTTATGATTTAGAATAATCTTGAGTTAGGTAAATCTAGCTCCTCGGTTGCGATTAGGCTACTAGATATATTGATTAATTTATTTAAAACAAATCATCTCTATAGCAAAAATGCTGCTAGATGTATCTAATTTAGTTAATATGATTTCAAATAATCTCCACAGTGAGTACTGAGTAGGAAGCTAGCTGCTAGATATATTTAATAGGTTTAGAATAATCTCCACAGTGAGTATTGAGTAGGAAGCTAGCTGCTAGATATATTTAATAGGTTTAGAATAATCTCCACAGTGAGGAGGGCGCTAGATATATTCTATATGGTTTAGAGTAATCTCCATAATGAATAGAGAGTTAGAAATACTTATCACAATATTAAATATGATTTAGAATAATCTCTACAGTGAGCAGGGAGCTATATATTTAATATTTATCACTATATTCATCATTATTTAGATTAATCTCTACAGTAAGGAGGGAGCTATATATTGATCACTATATCAATTTTGTTTAGAATAATCTCCACAGCTAGTAGAGAACTAGATATACCTATCACTGCAAAATGTCGAGTGTTCCCCGAGATAGAAAAGACTGTAGAGTATGCCAGGTATATTTTAGCAAATCTTTATTTATACTGTTTTTAAAATTCAGAGGGGGTCAAGCGAATTAATCTAAAATAGATAGGAATGGTTCATAAGGTGAACTGTATTACTTTTCTTATTTAAGTCTGTATCTAGAATGCTTGAAAAGGCTGGAGCACAGATGATAACAGTTCACGGCAGAACTAGAGACCAGAAGGGACCTTTGACCGGCCTAGCTAGCTGGACCCATATCAGGTACAATCTTAGTAGTCTAGGACACATGACCTTTGATAGGCTTAGCAAGCTGGACTTGACCCATTTCAGTTAAAATATTAGTAGTATAGGGCACATGACCTTAGACCGGCTTATCTAGCTGGACTAGACCCATTTTAGTTAAAATATTGTATGAAAATGACAAAACTTATATTCTAGTTTATATATTCAAAAACAGCTCAACTATCCTTCTCATTTATTTATTGACTACTGTGTGACTCTCTACTTGACTTGAAATCAATCTAAACTCAAAGTTCTGGTCTCAATTAAACATGTTAAAAGCACAGAGGATATTTTATTTTTCTTTGAACCTGAAACAATACAAATCCTTAAAAACTAAGTACGAGGGAGAAAATACATGAATACGAGCCTTCAGAGTAAAAGTACCAATCAAAAAAACTAAGATAAATTGGCTAAACTTAGAATAGGAAAAGGGGGGCAAAACTAAAGTAATAAAGAAAACTTCAAGACCTGAATAGGGAGAATCACACGCAGTTTCACTCTGGAGAAATTTTTTTGCTCTGAACTGGACTTGGGGAGAAATCAAGCCCCCTTTTATACTCCCAAGGGAGCAGGAACTGCGCGCTTATCATTGATCTATTCAGATTTTGATTGGTTGGTTAGATACATAATTAGTTTAATTAGTGTGCAAATGACACATAATTGGACAGCAAGGGCTCCTTTGGATTAAAAAAAAATAGTTACTTTTTAATTGTCTTAATTAACATCCAGAGAGGGGGGCGTATTTCACCATACTGTAATTATGACTCTTCTGAAGATTCTTTCATTCAAATAAGAAAAATACACGTATAACACAATTGCTAGAAATATGGAATCACATACAATATTAGTAGTATAGGGCACATGACCTTAGACCGGCTTAGCCAGCTGGACTAGACCCATATTAATTACAATATTAGTAGCATAGGGCACATGACCTTTGACCGGCTTATCTAGTTGGACTAGACCCATATCAGTTTTTAATATTAGTAGTATAGGGCACATGACCTTTAACCGGCCTAGCTAGCTGGGTTAGTCCTATATCGGTTACAATATTAGTAGTATAGGGCACATAACCTTTAACCGGCCTAGCTAGCTGGGTTAGTCCTATATCGGTTACCATATTAGTAGTATAGGGCACATAACCTTTAACCGGCCTAGCTAGCTGGGTTAGTCCTATATCAGTTACAATATTAGTAGTATAGGGCACATAACCTTTAACCGGCCTAGCTAGCTGGACTAGACCCATATCAGTTTTTAATATTAGTAGTATAGGGCACATAACCTTTAACCGGCCTAGCTAGCTGGGTTAGTCCTATATCGGTTACAATATTAGTAGCATAGGGCACATAACCTTTAACCGGCCTAGCTAGCTGGGTTAGTCCTATATCGGTTACAATTTTTGCAGCTTAGACATTTGCGATTTAGTTCACAAAGAAGGGCTCAATCCTAGGCTTAATGAATTGATTAATTATCCTGCATTTAGTTTTATTCAACTCATTTATTGTATTTTATTTGTTGGTTGGAAAGATTTAAATTTAAACTACTCAATTTTTTTACTTCTGTTTCTTACAGGGCAGTAAAGGAAGCAGTATCTGTCCCTGTACTTGCAAATGGAAATATTCAGGTAGGGGAAAATCTAAACAATAAAAAATAAAACTTTTTGTTAATGGGCTCTCCAAGATGGGGGATTTTCAGATCCTTTTCTTATCCTAACGGTTCCTTTCTGTCTGAAATGTTGAAAAAAATTGAAGCTTTGAAAAAAAAATATTTAGAATAAATCTGATGCAGACCGTTGTATCTTAGAAACTGGAGTGGAGGTAACGTTTTTAAACCTTTATCAATGATCTTTTTATTCGATTATCAATTTTTTACTACTAGGCTTATACAGGGCGCTTCGCGCCCATCTTCTATTTCTATTGTATACATTTTCTCTCTGTACACATTTTAAGACAGAAACAAACAAAAATTTCCCTGATTTTCTAAAAATAAAAATCGTCGATTTAAAAAAAAAATTAAATCGAATTTTTGAAAATTCATGTTAGGTTCCACAAAAAAATTGGGCTCGATCGGTTCAGCCGTTTTGACGTTTGTTGGATACAAACATACAGACAGACAGAGAGACAAGTTTATAAAGGGTGTACATAAAAAAGTTTCCCACTTACATTTGTGGTAATAAAATCTTGTGAATTTATATTTATCTAATATTGGTTATAATAAAACTAGTCCATTCTAAAGAAATCGGATTTGGAAATGATTTAGTTTTTGTTTTTGGACATCTGCGACCCGGTGTTGATAGACTCTATCAACCTTCTAAACTCTACAAAGGTTCTTTTTGTGTCCATCCATCTACTTCTTCTCTTTCATGAGGTTTCGGGGTTGGCAGAGCTGGGTTTATACTGTTATCTTAATATAGTTTGCTATTTAAGTTGCTTTATACAGAGGTTTCAGTTGAACTAAGGAAAGTTACAGTTTAAAGATACTTATCAGAGCTTATTACCCTATTTTCGCTTTAAACATTAAAAGCTTTTTAGTTTCCTATTTATGATTTGATTTGGACAGCTGAACATGAGAGGAAATCTTTCTTGAGTTGTTAGGATTTTTCCTTGGATTGGGCCAGAAATATCTGAAACAAGCTTCCGTCCACATCCTTCTCAATGCTTAGACAAATAGCGCCATGACTTCATACTTATTTGTTTGGAAAATAAATACTTATTAAAGATTCTTATGATTATGATTTTACAGCCTGGCAATCTGTATTCGGTTCGAAAACCGTTTTTGATACTTTCAGTATGCTGGCAAATGGAAACTTCTGAACAAAGTCACTTCTTGGACTTTTTAAGCAACTTTTTAATACAGGATCCATCTTTGGTCAATGCAAAATTCTTCCTTATGTGTATGTATATGAATTAGAAAATGTTCTGCCTAATATTTGTAGATTTACATAAATTAGAGAAGAAATGGTACATGGGAACCTTTTTTAATGTAAACCCTTTAGATAGATTGGAAGGAAGGCCCAACGGCAATAAAGGTCTTAGGTAAAGGTAATGCCAAAGATTTGGGCCGATTAATGTTCACTTTTGATCAGGAAAATTTTTTTTCTGCTCGGGATCCGATCAAGGTTCTAAAAAGAGATTTAATTCTGGTTTAACAGGGTGTTATGTCAGCTGAAGGTCACCTGACCAACCCTGCCTTGTTTGCTGGATTGAATCCCCCTGTCTGGGAGATGTGCCTTGAATACTTGGATCTAGGCATAAATCTAGTCATAAACATGTGTTTTCTAGTTTTGGTATTATTTGTGATTTTAAACTTGAATATTCTTCTATTAGTTAGTTTTAGAGAAGATATATTTTGTTGTTTAATTTTCTTAAGATTGTTGATTTTTAATGCTAGTTTTTTACTTTCAAACCTAAGTTTTTTAATGAAAATTTCTTCATTTCTTAAGTATGTATTAAACTAGTGTAAGCAATTTTATTTACACTCATATTTGCAGAAAGTTAATTAGTTTTATACTTCGTTTTATTATAAATTTGATTTGATTTGTTTATTGTTGAAACTAGATTTTGCTTAGTGAAAGAATACCCTTGTCCTACTTCTTATGTCAGAGGAAAAAAGAAATTAATTTTTAAAATTCTTTTTGTTTCTTGCTTTGTTTGACTTAAATTTAATGTATCGAGAGGTCAGGGATAAAATGGAATGCAAGGTTTTTGAAGAAATTTTTAAAAAGTAAAATTTATGTTAAAAGGTTTCTCTCCCAGTCAAAAGTTTTCTTTTCTGTTAATGGACACTGGCCAGGAACGAAATGTAGACTAAGTTGAACTACTTCTCTTTAACTTGGACCGACTCACATGAGAAACATTTCTCGTTATTCTTTATATTTGATCCCTGAACTATTTGAAATACAAGGAGTAGCAAAAATAAGAAAACTTTTACAAAAAATAAGAAAACCTTCCTTGCCGATTTGAGATTATCTTCTTATTTTCAAAATTGTCCACCTCTAAACTGGACATTTCTAAATGGATGGAACCATTTTTCAAATCTTAAAATTTTACTAATGAAATCAGAGAAACATGGCACATTATCCGTAAAAACCCAGTTCTTGTCTTTCGATCACTCAAAAACCCGATATTACATTAATTTCTATTCCAGGACATCTTTTCAAACTGTTAAATCATTGTTTCCAGGATCCTGGAAATCACGATCTCAGGAAAACATACATATTTATTTTATAAATATTGCAAAAGTTTTTAGAGACATTACTTTTAGAGAAAGATCTATAGGAATAAGGTTTAATACTGCTCAGATGACTTTTTGTTGGAACTTAGCTTATTTATAGAGTAACAATTAATTCAAATGACCAATGTTACTTCCCATGCATAAACCTTAGATATTATACATGCATTAACTACAATATGTCAAAATTTTAAATACAGATTCTTAAAATTTTTTATATTCTTTTTTTTTGAACAAACCAAGCTGGGGCTATAGAAAAAACATATTCAAAAAGAATTTATTTGATTGTTATCAAACATTTTTTTAAAAATTCAGAGAGAAAGACGTATTTAACGGCTCCAGGTCCATCTTCTGATAACAATATCCACATTTTTAAAGAATTTTAATTGTTTTACTGGTTATATTTTGGGATTTTTGAAATGTTTCAGATTTATCCCGGTCACGGTTTTTAGAACTATTATAAACCTGAAGTTCTAAAAAACTCTTGTTTTTACAGGAAAATAACATCTAAAAACAACAACAACAAAGAATCATGTAAATTTTCTTATTAACTACCTACATGTAAATCTAAAAAACATTTTATTCATTTATTTTGTTCAAAGACCAAAAGTTACTTAGATCAAATGTTACTTAGACCAAATGTTACTTAGACCAAAGGTTACTAGACAAAAAAGAACTAGACGGAAATGAACTAGACAAAAGTGAACTTAGACGAAGGTGTACTAGACGAAATGTTACTGAGCCGTTGAGTTGACAGCTGGGTTGAGTTCAGTTGACAGCTGTGTTGAGTTGAGTTAACAGCTGAGTTGAGTTGACAGCTGGGTTGAGTTAAGTTGACAGCTGGGTTGAGTTGAGTTGACAGCTGTGTGGAGTTGAGTTGACAGCTGGGTAGATTTGAATTGACATCTGTGTTGAGTTAACAGCTGAGTTGATTAGAATTAACAGCTGTGTCGAGTTGATGGTTGGGTTAATTTAACAGCTGGGTTAAGTTGAGTTGAAATATATTTAACGCAACCTGAAATATTCAGGGGGACAAAGTTATTTAGCGTTGAAGATCTGAATTAAACCTTATTCATTATTTAATCAATAATATTATTTTATAAAGAATGAAGATGTTATTTAGCTGAAATATACATTACTTAACCTGAAATACTCAGGGGAGCCAAGTTTTAGGATACATTATACATTCAATATTCAGGGGAGAAGCGTTATGAAGAAGTTGAAGAGTTGAAAATTTACAACCTGAAATTTCCTCCTTGGATTTGTCAACCATACGTCAGGACAACATAACATTCTTGAAAACATTTTGAAAGCTGATTTTTTAATTTTAAATTTTAAATTTCTTAATTTGATTTCAACTTTTGAATGCGCACTTAAGAAAGAAAAAAACCATTCTGCAACCCATTTCAAAACTCTCTGGCAACCCTGTCCACTGCAAATAATTTTAATAGAGAAAATAATCAGTTTATTTCCTTGAACAGACAAAGGTTTAAAGTGTATTTTTCTAAATTAGATATGCTACTTTTTAATTTGACAGCCATTGAAATAGCGTGGAAAGCTCCTTTAAACATGATCGAGTTCCCTTCTGGGTGGATTTTCTTAATACTCCGAACTATAATTTCTTTGTTAAGAAACATCAAGACGACCTATCGATCGACTCACAATAAATTTAAGTTTGACCTTCTCTTTCTCCTGGACGCTTTTTTAAAATTTACCAAAATCAAGTTTGAATTTATGTTGATAAAGGCCGCCTCCTGAGGTCTATGTGGCGAAAATGAAGCAGATAAAGGAATCAAAAGAACAAGAAGCTAAAAGAGGGTAGGCATTAGGCAATTACCTTACACTGTTTCATATTCATAAGCTGCTGAGTGTAGCAGTGTTGATTGGGATGTTTTGTTTGATCCAACCTAGTCCAGTTCAGGATCTAGTCCTGGTTACTATATATTTGTAACATTAGTTTTTTTTAATTTATTAACAATTAACACAGTACTTTTGATCTTGTCCTAAATATTCCTGCCAAAGCGCTTAACCCTGAACAGTCAAAATATTACTCTTTAAATCTACGTTAGCTAAATGAGCTCTATTCAATAATATACTTTTAAATGTCTTACTTCGTTTTTTTTCTAAAAATCATTCTCTGCTGAAAAATACTTTCCTCCTCCTTATCTTCTTTTAGATGAACACGTTATTTGAAGCATTATTACACAGTCAAAAAGACCACGTAAAACTGACGTAAATTGCACGTAAGATTTGAATATTTATGTTTTCGATCATAACTACTCTTATTGGAAAGCTATTGAGAAAACTGCTATGTAAGGTAGTTAAACTGAGTATGCAGTGTTGTATAGGATTCATTTAAGACATATAAAACGTTTCCACGATCTATAATTACGGAGTTTGAGCGCAAAGTCGACGTTCAAAATCATAAATTTGGGTGTGTAGGTTTCAGAATCGTTTTTTTTTTTAATTATTAAATAACGACGACGAAAAATATAGTAAAAATTCTATATGTAAACTAATTAGATGTTTAGTTAATTAGATGTTTAGTTTAGGAACATATTTCTCAAAAGAAATGTGTCAATAAATCGAATTTAGGATTAATTATTTCCTTTTTCATCATTTTATTGATTTTATTGATTTTCTTATTTTATGTGAATTTGTTCGCAGATTTCTCCAAATTCTTCAAATGTCGTCTTTTTAATAAAAATTCCAGAAAATCTGCAGGAAATCTTTGTGATAAAAGAGAGATTATAGAGATTATAATTGAATAAGATTACTTATTTTCTATAATAAGAGTTAATTTTTATTCTCTCCACCTGTTTCTAAACTACTTATTATTTTATTGTAGAATTTTGTTAACATTTTTTGTCGTCGTTTTTTAATAATTAAAAAAACAATTCTGAAAACGTATCCACCTAAAAATACGATTTTGAACTTCGACTTTGCATTCAAACTCAAGATTTACAGATCTCAAATGAATCCTAAAGAATTTGTCCACAACACTGTATACTCAGTTCAACTACCTTACATAGCCGGCTGTCCCATAACTTTATTCTGTCTAGGCTCATTATTATTTATTCCTAATTTAGAAGACCCGAAGATGAACAAGGCAGCATCAAAGACTTGATTACTGAGAAGAGAGAAGACGGAGAGGTTTCTAAAAGGAAGAAGAAGAAGATGGAACGAAACCCTTATAAACCTTTCTCAAAAGCTCGAGCTAACTGTTCCCTATGTTCAACCTGTGGTAACCCATCAGGTTCAAAATTTTCATCAAATTGTTTTATTAAGAGACGCATGTCTCATGTATCCCATTAATTACCACAATTGACCTAAACATGATCATTTTTGTGGTTTAAAATTGACTGCTTGTATGTAAGAATACCGTAGCTTTCTAAGAGCGCGATTTATTGATGTCTAAGACCAGTTAGAAAATTACTGATATATTAATTCCATTTGAAACTACGACAGAGGTCTATTATATATCATTAATCAATTTATCAATATCATGGCTTAAAATCTATCTTTGATTCCAATCAGATTTACATTTAATTTGTTCTCTGTCATTCATTAAAGTTTTGTAAAGGATTGTTAAAAATTCTTATAAAGGGTTGTTGTACTTTAAAGTGATCCTCAGATCAAATTAAAAGAGAGCCATGTCCGATTTACAACTGTACCCTTTAAACCTTTATTCGATCAATCACGTTTATTAGCTTTAAAGGTGTTTAATTCTCACAATTATTTCTGTTGCGTGTGAAGCAAAAAAGTCCTTGTACGGAGAAACTGCAATTGACTCAAACGTGCCCCCGTTTAAATTTCCTCATTAACTTAAAAGGATCACGGGTTAAAAAAAACACTTCTGAAATGTTTATAATAATCTTTGTTTCAAGGTCTGCTCAAGAAATATTTTGGGAAAATATAATTATTTTAAGGCTTAAAGTGTTTGCATCAGCTCTGCAGAACCTGTTGTAAGAATAAAGCATTCAAGGTTAGTTTTCCAAATTACTAATTTATACTTATGTTTATATTAAAAAATCTGATTTGATTTAATTTGATCTTGTATATATTATTATTATATTTATATTAGTATTATATTATTAGAAGTGTGAACACACAAAAAAATAGAAATTGTGTATTATAAAATTCCTTGAAGTCTTCTAATAGGTTTAGGTTAAGTAAAGTTTATTTGTTATATTTTAAGTTTTGTAACCCCTTAAATCTAAATCTGAATAAAAAACATCCCTATTATTGATGTCGGATTTTTTGTGTTGTGAATTTAATGTTCAAGCATTACATTGACCTTTTTGCATTCCTCTATGATATCTCGTGGTGATCGTACCCTGCAAGGATAACTAAAACAAAGAGATCAACAATGTATCTCTCAAATTCTAAAGTTGTCACATTTGATATCAAGATCAAGCGTTGCAGTTGAGCAACATTTTACACAAAAGGTTTGACATCTTAATTTATTTCAGGAGAACTTGGACTGCGCTGGACACAAGATATTTGTTAAAACCAATCGAGAGAAGGCCAAGCTCAGACCAGGATATAAGGAGAAGGAAACTTTTAACAAAACAGAAACTTTAGAAAACAAAACAGAAACTATGGATACTTCAAATGATACTGGTATAAAACCTGAAGCTGTAGCTATTAGTACCATGACGACTGCTGCTGGGTTTCTCGAGATCATAACTGACTCTGTTCAATCATCAATTGTGGAACCTAATAGAACTTCTGAAAGTATTGGTTTGGATTCAGATAAAAATACATTGATTAACAATGAAGAAAATAGTTGACTTTAAATATCTTTTTTACTTTTTTCCAAATAAATATATTTTTTCTTGTTAAAACCTTTAGGCAATTTTATCAATGATGTCTGTTCATTGTTTAATGTTTAGCATACTATGTACATAACTTGTTTAACACAACATATAGTACACAACTACACATTTCTTCTAAACTTGATGAAAACCGTTGCAACTTTTTCATGGCGCTCTTAAAAAGGATCTCTTAAAGGGACGTACGGAATTTTAATGCTTTTGCTAAAACACAAGATATTAAAACAAAGATATCAAAACATCTCTTTCTTAACGGGAAATTCCAAAATTGTACGATAATTAATTCCCTAAGGAGTTTATGTTTGCATGTATTCTTGAGGGGTCTTAAACAAAATAATTTGAGTAGTAATTAAAAAAATCTTTAGTAATGTGTAATTCCTACTTCATATTTTCTATATCTTCCTTGCAATGAAATTCTCCTTGGCAAGAATGGTTAAGACTCAAGACTCAAAAGAATTCTCAACTCGATTTATGTCCTGTATTTTGCAAACTTGATTGCAAATTAAGTAATAGCCGATATGTTGGGTTAGGTTTAGACAATTTCTGGCCCGAGTGCTGCGGTTACTAAATAACTGCATCAGACCTACGAAATGTGTGCATCTTTCCATACATGTGTGTACTCGACTTACAAAAGTTGTGCATCCGACCTACAAAAATTGCCCATTCGACCTAAGAAAGGTGCCCATACGACCCAAAGTGAATAAACATAAAGTGGAACAGACTAAGGCAACGACGACAGGTTGGGGCATAAGGTTTTATTTGGATTGGAAATAATTGCATGAAAACATTTCTTTTGGAAAGTAAAGACTAGAAGAAATAGACTAAAGACCCATGTAAATATCGTCTTCAGTTAGAACTTCGAAATTTTCATATTTTAAAATTAAAAATTCTGTATGTTTGTATGTGGTTATATGTAAATACTATACAGTCGCTTAATCAGTACATTGATTTTGCCTGGCACTTTTAATTTTGTACGAATTTATCTTTAAAACTGTTTTGTTTTGTTCTTTCAAATCTTACTTCATTCCGAAATATGTTTGTAAATTTCTTAAACACGTCTATGTTATTATACAGAGACGTGTTCAGGGGGGCTATGAGGGGCTCTCCTTCCTCCTGGATCAGTGAAATATANAACAAGAAAATTGCAGTATACAAACAGAGTAAACTTGTCCGTCTTCACTATTCATCTTGCGGAGACATTATAGACACATCTTTACAGTCTTTTACCCTTTTCATAAAATAAACTCTAGCAGACATAATAATATTATGGCTTTTGAAATTAGGTATTACAATGCTAATACATTACAAAGACGATATCCGATTTGTCACTGAATTCCCATGTTTTTTGGGACACCCTGTATTTGATGTTTAATTGAACCAACCATCCCATTTTTAGATCGGAGTTCTTTAGTCACTCTTTACAAAATAGTATTTGTTTTCATTTTAATACGATTAAATAATTTATGAATTTTAGTTTCAATTTTCTGACGTAAGAATAGTTCAACTACTTATATTTTTAACTAGTTTTCTTTGATGTTTATGCAGCAAAATGCAAACAAATAATTTTACCATGCGTTGGTTTGCAGCATTAGATTGAAAATTTTGAGCTAATATAGTTGTTTTGTCAAAAAAAAAAGTCGGTTGAAAATTTAGGCTCTTGAAGTAATTGTAAATGTAATACATGAAAGGTTTTTTCAAAGTTTGACCTAAAAGGTCGAATATGAAACTTAAGGTTTGCACGATTAGATCGAACATTTTAGTAAATGTTTTAATGTCCTGAAAATCTCTTTAATATTGGGGCCAAGATTAGTGTTGCATTGTATTTGTTGCCACAAATATATTTATTGTTAATTGTTCCCCAAAAAGGATTTCGAGACTTTAGTGACGACCTTTAACTCTGTAGAAAGGAAGATCTGAAAAGTAATTTTGGTTCTGTGCCTTAAAGGGAGTGCATTTAAGTGTAATTTCAAGTGACCCTCCATTGTCTATGCAAAGATGGATACGCCCGATTCACAATGGTTCCCTTAAAAAGCTTTGTCCGATTAAAAGGACTGGAAAAATGGCAGTGCAGTATACTGGTCACGTGATTTCCGTCTGTATCACGTGACAACAATACTGCACTGCCATTGGCTGAAGTTCTGGTGATGTAATACGGACTATATTTAATTATATTACCAATTATATTTATTAAAAATACCAAATCAAAATTAAAAAATTATAATAGGAGCAAACCTGAAATTCTCAGGCTCCTGTGGGATATCGTCGTTTTCAGATTGGTTGCGTATTTGTTGAATATGATCTGTTTAATACTAAAACTTTTATACAAATTGCATATATATATAAATGAATTTTCATATAAATTTGACACAGTTTGTATATATCAATTTCTCGAGATGTTTTATATGTTTCGATTAACGCCCGTGATTCTCAGGTTTCATCTTATAGGGGGTATGTTTCCTGTACAGTCCCATTTAGTATGAATTATATATCATGTTTATAATTTTTAAAAGTGTTTATTTTCAATTGTGGATTCTCTACAAAAGTGACTTTTGCATTTCATTATTTTCTGCGAAATAGGATTGAATATAATTCCGTACAGGATCGTCTCATTCTTTGCGGGTAACACTGTACATAGCATATATCTATTTAGCAGTAGAGTTGTATAATCTGGTCTGAAGCCGTGTCCTGATATAATATTTCCTAACTAAAGGTTTCTTCTCTAACCTTTTTCTGAATACACTTAAATATTATATGCTAGAAGAACAAGAATAAAAAATCCTAATTTTAAACAGAATTTGTCCCATGTCCTTTCCCGGAGAAGTCACAACTATAATATCTCGCCACAGAAATTTCCTCGACGGACTTAATTGATTAATATGTCTTGATAATTAATATTTGTTTTATCAAACTTTTTTGGAAAAATAATTTTTTTTTCTGCGAAAGTGTTTTAGCTGCAACAATTAATAATGCAAAAAAAACTTGTGGAATTCTCTGCTCTGAGATCTCAGCATTAGAAGTTTTATTACATCATAATTATTAATTTCTCTTCTTTTACTTAAATTAATGTTTTATTAAGAGGATTTGATCTATCTAGTAATACTAAATAAATGTTTTCAGGGTTTAGTGACATTTTAAAAAATGCAAAAAGTAAGTCGCAATAATCGATAAATATGCCTTTTTCAAACAGGGACAAATAGTATTGAAAATTGACCCCCTCCACTCCCTTGAGAGAAAAAAAAACACTTCTCTGTGGAATGGATTTTAGGGGACCCGGAATTTTCGCAATTTTATTCAGAAAGAAGCATAGATAAACGTGGAAAGGTTATCCTAACAATGGTGTCGATAATCCGGGATTCTGACTTAATCTCTGGGATCGTGAGAAAGAAATGAACTAAAGAGATGTGTCTGTTTCTTGGTTTTTTTGATGGAGGGGTATATTTTTGATGAAAACTGCAGTTTTTGATTCAATTAAATAATAATATCGGAAATAATTTTGAAAACATCATACTGGACTAGTACTGAGATGGACTAGTCTAGGCAACTGTTCATGCTGTGGGGAGGTGGCTTCGGTCATTGGCCTAGATGTTTTTGTATAAGAGAGCAACCCTTAAAAAAAATGTTCTTTTAAACTCCTTCTAACATTTATTTTCTCTGTTACAAATTGCTCCTTTCCAACTTTTCTGCCTTCATTCTTTTTCCTTATTTTGATCCACTGCCTTTCCACTTTTTAAAAATGTATAGTACAGTATTTATTTTCAAACACAAAATACAAATTTATAATGTATGATGGTTTAGGGAAAAACAAAACACAAAAGAAAACTTAATATTTGCCAATTGAAAATATAATGTGTAATAATTTTGTTCTGATAGTTTTTGTTTTAACCACAATTGGATAAACATTCTTTGTACATTCTTTTAAATAATCAGTCACCTCTCATTTTCAGAAGACTTTGACATTCACCATTAGCAAAGGGTGTGAACTCATTCTTGTTGACTTTGGTAGACTTTGAAATTCACCATTAGCAAAGGGTGTGAACTCATTTTTGTTGACTTTGGTAGACTTTGAAATTCACCATTAGCAAAGGGTGTAAACTCATTCTTATTGACTTTGGTAGACTTTGACATTCACCATTAGCAAAGGGTGTGAACTCATTCTTGTTGACTTTGGCAGACTTTGACATTCACCATTAGCAAAAGGTGTGAACTCATTCTTGTTGACTTTGGTAGACTTTGACATTCACCATTTGCAAAGGGTGTGAACTCATTCTTGTTGACTTTGGTAGACTTTGACATTCACCATTAGCAAAGGGTGAGAACTCATTCTTGTTGACTTTGGTAGACTTTGACATTCACCATTAGCAAAGGGTGTGAACTCATTCTTGTTGACTGGTGGACTTTGACATCCAACATTAGCAAAGGGGGTGAACTCATTCTTGTTGCTTTGGTAGACTTAAACATCCACTGTTAGCAAAGGGTGTGAACTTTGGTAGACTTTGACATCCACCAATAGCAAAGGGTGTGAACTCATTCTTGTTGACTTTGGTAGACTCTGGCATCCACCATTAGCAAAGGGTGTGAACTCATTTTTGTTGACTTTGGTAGACTTTGACATCCACCATTAGCAAAGGGTGTGAACTCATTCTTGTTGACTTTGGTAGACTTTGACATTCACCATTAGCAAAGGGTGTGTTTATCTGCTAAAACTAAAACAATTTACACTTGCGAAAAAAATATATAATTTCCTTCAAAAAAGTGTTGAACATTTTAGATATTTTTTAATTAGAAAATTAATTATCTAACATGTGTATGATTAAGATGTATATTTTGAAGTATATTTAGGAAATATGATAAAATTAATGGTGTTTAGTCCACGCTATAGATGTTTTTTGTTTTGTTCTAGGGATAGCGAGGTGTTGGATGTTATCGACGAGTATGCAGGGTGTCCCAATAAATATGTGGGAAAAAATTATTTGATATTCAAAAATTGAACAATGACATGTGTATCTGGAGAG